TTTATTATCATTATTATTACTATGACAGAAGCAACACTTCATTTATTTCTATGACAGACAACAATTTATTCTTTAATAGATTTATTTCTATGTAACAGTCTCACAATCTCCGAGATCTGCTCCTCAAACGAGCGGCTGACGGCGTCGATGGAGCGCTTCACGGGGTCAGAGGTCACGCTCTGCCTGCAGAGAACCACAAACAACAGTTTCAGGGTTCAGTGATTTGATTTGCTGAACTGACATCATGTACTCACTTATACTGAGTGACAAACTCCTGGAAAGCGTCGAGCGCCACGTCCAGATCAGTGGCACTTCTCGGATCTCGGGGTCTTTTAGCGGGACCGGCTGACTCTGCAGAAGGACGGATTACATTTATGCATTTGGCAGATTTGATTTCATCTAAAAACCATTTGCATTGCATTCAAGGAACACATTTTATTAGATAATGCATTACACAGTTTGGTATCGCTGTGATTCATCACTGTGCCGGTTAACTTTGTTCATGGCTAACTATATTTGAAACGATTTTTTTTTAAGTTCATATACAGAAAACGATTGTGAAAAATACTTCCAGAACCAAGAAACGTACACTATTGAAGCATTTGATGGCCATAATCATCAAAATTATAACAAATAAAGGCTTGAAATATCTCACTTTGCATGTAATGAGTCTATATAGTCTATATAGCTATATAACTGACATGGTGCCTCACATAAAAACACTTAGCACATACATTCAATACATAAAAAAAAAAAACATACACATATACATATAAATAAATAAATAATAGGTAAAAAAAATAAAAAAAATAATATAATAAAAAATAATATAATAGTTTCACCTTTTAAGTTGAATTACTAAAAAAAAATTAGTAAACAATTAGTAAAACTTTTGCACAATATTCTAATTTTCATAAGCTGTCATCCATAATCATCAAAATGTCTGTGTTGTATTTACTTTATCTATGAATTTCTATTATGATCTTGTTTGTTGTAAAGAAGGGACCCCCTTGAAAATGAGATGGTTCATCCCAAGGGGCTATCCTTGAAATAAAATATATATATTTTATTTATATAAAACATATATAAAATAAAACTATATAAAACTTTTATTTTGGGGGTTTTTAAGTATTTAATAAAAAAAAAAAAATATATATATATATATATATTTTTTTTTTTTTTTTTTTTTATTAAATACTTAAAACCCCCCAGAATAAAAGTAAGTAATTATGTCTGAAAACACATCATGCATTTAAAATGATTTTAACTCGTTCAGTACCTGATGAAGATAAGGACTTCCTCTTGTGTCTGCGACTGGACGATCTCCTCTTCGCCGCTTTAGGTTTCTCCATGCTCGGGTGCTGGAAAGGACAACAACAATTCTTTGTCCTAAAACACATTTTTGGGTGAAAAGGATGAAAGAGGAAGGATTTTTTTGACGAAGAAATGAATGTATGAAAATCTAATTTTATACTATATATAAATAAATAAATAAACATATATATAAAAACAAATAAATCAGATAAACTGCGTCACAGCTATATATATATATATATACATATGTACACACACATATATATATACATATATATTATATATATAAGCTGTGACGCAGTTAATCTGGTTTATTTGTTTAAATTGGCCGGTGAGTGAAAAAGATCATTTCAAACCACAAATCATATATGAAGATACTGATGACTAAACATACAAAACTTTCATCCTCATCCGTGAGCTCCTCTGAGGACGCCGGCGACCTCTGTCTCTGAGACACTCCTGGGGTCGGAGAGGTTTCCTTTGATGACCTCTGACCTTTTCCTGCTTTCTGGAAAAATAAAAAAAAATGCATTCCAATTAAACTCTATATCTGAAAAGTACTTTCTTCTCTATTGAGTCGTATAATATCGGAGTGAAACGCTTCTGGGACATGAACAAATGTGGGCGGGGCTTGATTGTGTCTGCGGGGATTTGATTGAATGTTTGTAGTTTGCTATTGGCTGATCTCATGTGAGTGACAGGTTATAACTCCGCCCACATCATCAGAGAAGAGAAGCAGTTTAAATCATCGCTAATAAACACTGCAATATTCCATAAACACAAGAATTGGCCATTTTGATTTCATGGTGACTAACAGATAGATAGACAACTGAAAAAATGAACATACAAGTGTCTGCTGAATGATTAAAGTCTCCCTGTGGTGTAAATCCAGCTTTTAATGTTGTTTATGTGTCTATGTGGTGTTTTTAATACGCTTAAACCGTGTGTAAGTTCATAAGTCGAGTATTTCCTCCTTAAAACTGCAGTGAACCAAAAACACGCTTTGAAATCGCTGGTGTTTCTGACGTCACAAACCACCTTGTAACCAATCAGATCAACGTGTGATCGACAACCAGTGAGTGGAGGCGGGGCTCATTTGCATATTCATACAACCGTGCATACTAAATGAGGCAAGGGTGTCGAGTTACAGTCAAGATATTATGAAGTCATTATTTTGGTGATCAAATATGAGTTTTAAGTGATTAAATGATTGACTACAGGGACTTTAAATGGAAATGTAGAAGCGGTTCAACTTGAAGAGACAAGCGTCATCCTAAACGCTCACCTCGGACCCGGTCGTTCTTCTCTTGTCTGTATTCTCTCCGCCTTCTGATATAGTCGGTAAAGGTCTTCCTTTAGCTTTTCTACGACACAGAAAGCCTTTTCGTTATTATTATTACGGTGATGCCGAAACCCGTTGATCTGACACTCTACCTGACGACTGATCTTCCTCCGGGATCTGGGGTCCGAGACGGCTCCTGGTTCTCCTTGGACGAGGCGCTCTTAGAAACGACTCGGGCCTTTTCGTTAGCCTTAGCTTTATGGGTTTCCACAGCAGATCTCCGGGTCTGATCTGGTCCAGGACTCAGGTCTTCCTCTAAAGCTGTGCTGTGAAGCGGGTTCCCTGCAGACGACAACAACAACCACACGCTAAAGTCACTTTATACAGAAGAGTTACTCTTTAGGGGTGTAACGATGCCGCATATAAAGCAAGCGGTGGACTTCCTACACACCGTGAGGAGAATACTGATCTCCCTGGAAGAAACTGGCCTTCTCTATGGATGAGATGTCCAGCGCTCGTGGAGACTCAGTGCTCGCTTTCACACTCTGAAAAACACACACTTCTGTTAATTGTCTGCAAACTTTAAGTGGATATTATTGCACGTACTGAATAATAAGTATAATGCAATACACATATAACGAACTGTTACTTCAGCCCACAGTTCAGGAAATACTATATGTAAATATAACATACTAATTTTAATATTATAAACAATAATACAATATTTGTCATTAAATAATATAAATATTTGTGATACTATTTATTTCAGGGCAATACATTGTAAATATTGCATTAGTAAAAGTAATAAATACATATACTAACATCAATAATAAATAAATATTAATTAAATATTGGTGGTATTAAAACAACATCTTTCAGGAATTATAAGTGAATAATCATTCATAATACATATTTATAATTAAACATGTTATATTTACTTTCTGGCTTATTATACGCAAGTATGTATAATATTTATTACATGCGTCATATTAATAATAATAAATATTGCATTAAATATCATACACAATGACATTAATATTGCTGGATAAAAACAAAATACAAATATTGCTGGTATTAAAAATACACGTTTCAGGAATTACATGTCAAAAAATCTATTAAAATTAGTAATATTAAATGCTATTATATCGCAAACAATACAATATTTGTTATTACCTAATATAAATATTGGTTATATTAATATTATACAATAACAATTTATGTAATATTACGTGTGTCATGTTAATAATATTAGTCATATTAATTACTACATAATGACACACAATATCAATATTATTGCTGGATAAAAAATACAAATATTGCTTGTTTTAAAACGACGTGTTTCGGGAAATACATGTTATGCTATATATATATATATATATTAAAGTATTATAATATTTTTTTTTCTCAACCAACAAAACAACAAAAATATTGGTTATTACATAATTTATTGGTAATTGTATAATATTGTTAATATTATGTTTCATGTCAAAAATAGAATGTAATTAGGATTCAAAACATGTAAGCTAACGTTAAATGAGAAAGCAGCTAATAAACACTCACCTGTAATTCCCGCTGAACAGCTTTCAGTGTTTTCGTCATCCTATTCATCTTTACATTAAATTAAACACATATAATTATCTGCATAAACAACAACAATCAGAAAGTAACAACTGCAACAAAGTCGGTAGGGATAAGGAAGTGTTTTACCGCGAATGTTTGAACGCTTGGACTGAACCATCTCAGAAACGGGGGCCGACCAAACAACGTTAGGGTGTGTATTTCGTTTATATACAAAGTAGGAATGATATTTTACAATTTATTAGAGTATAAACTTTATAAATTTGAAATTAACTAAAGTAGTCACTTTTCATACATCATTTTCTTTAAAAATATTAAAATATTTTTTTTCAAATTACCCCTCCAGACTTATATACTTATATAGCATGTTCCTTCTCTGTTTTGTGTAAAGCGCACAAGGCGGGGCAACGCGTCATTTCCGTCTCTACTGCCCTCTGCTTTTCTGGCGCAAATTAAATAACTAAAATTACTCGTTTCATTACAACATTAGCAAACAAAGATTTTATGCTAATTTTATGTATAATTTGATTCAATTATGAATAATGAAAAAATAGATGTTTATAGTCTATTTGCAGTCAGGTTTGTGAATCTGAAAACATTTAGATTCTCTCTATATATTATATTTAAAAAAAAATCTAAATAAAAATATTATAAATAAATAAATATGAAAATAAATACATGAGGGAATGAATAAATACGTAGGGAAAAAAGGGGGGGGAAGTTTTGTTATAGCGCCCTCCAGTGGTTATTTATTTACCTTACGATCTCCATGCAGAGTGGACACGCTAGAAGCGATTCTTTAGTGGCTACTTCCGGTCTCTCGCTCTTTCCATCCGAGGTGGAAACACTATAAACCAAGGACGCGGGTGGTTCCGCCTAACTGACTGAAACCAGCTCAACAGAACCGCCACTTCCCCCGGGACCACAACCACAAGGTACTTAACCAAACAAAATCAGCGCTACGAAATACTCCGCTTTAAATACTTACAAATATAAACACTTTTAGTGCGGAATTCGCGATGGAAACACCTTAACTTGTGGTGTCGCAGAATTAGCATTAGCTTTGAAGTAAGTTAGGTGTGTTTTTGCAGCTCTAATAAGTGACAGGAAACGCATTTAAGCTTTCAGATCTAAATACAGAGTTTATTAATGTGCATTTAATTGATATCTGAGAGTTATTGACACTGTGAGGACGTGCTGTAGTCAAAAAGAGCAACAAAACGTAGCTAACGTTAGTTCAAATAAGCATGTTTATATATTTACTCGTATATGAATACCACAGGTGTTTTAATTCATATATTTATCTGATATAATGGTGTTTGTTTTAGTCTATCCACTGTTTTGACACTGTATTGTTAGCAGTGGCCTGTTAGCTGTGTTTATTAATCACGTGTATTGATTAATATTATAATGTAATGCTAATGAATCTGTCATCTGCACATCTGACACCATCATTTATGTTTTTAGAGAGCTCTGGCTTTCTCATTCTCTTGAATTAGGGGATTTTTATTAAATCAGATCATATCAATGACATTTGCTGATCACAGCAGACCATTATTAGTGGTGTGTCATAAGTGGGTAAATGAGGAGGCGAACACTGACCTGTCAATCATCACTGAGCTGATCATACAGTGTTTTGTTCTGATTATTGAGGTTGGAGAGTTTGAGTCGTGTGCATCTGTGTTTTCAGCATGGCAGCAGATTATTGCACGACCAAATCCTCTCTGTGACCTTCAGAAGTTCCCATAGGATCTTCCACATGTGTGCTTTTATTTTTGGAGAGGGCTTGCACATGTAGATTCACGCTACAGGATTTCTTTTGAGCAACTTTAAGGAGTGAGTTAATGTCAAAACGAGACCCTCGGTGAAACCCGAAAAATTACAATGTGGTGCAAAAGTTAATTTATTTCAGTAATTCAACTTAAAAGGTGAAACTTATATTATATAGACTCATTACATGCAAAGTGAGATATTTCAAGCCTTTATTTGTTATAATTTTGATAATATAATTTTTATATATATAATAAGAGTCTATATAATATATTAGTTTCACCTTTTAAGTTGAATTACTGAACTTTTGCATGATATGAAACTTTTCGAGTTTCACACAATTAACAAAAAAAAAAACATAAAATTGGGCCTAAATGTAATGTATATAAAATTCAAACGTGTTGGTAAGAGGAAGAAATAAATAAATGACGGCTATATATTCATTTGTTTTACAAAAAAAAATGTTTTGTATCACTTTTATCATAATTTGAATAGCTTTTTATCATGTAATGTTATTATTTATTATTACATTTACCTTATATGAGACGTTTCACTGTTTTACATTTAAAATAACTTTTTAAATTTGTGTTTATATACCGTAATATGTGCGTGTGTTTGTGGTGTACACACACTTAACCTATATTATATGAACACATACTTTGTTAAATGTTGAATATTAGTCCACATGACTATATTTCTACTGAAAATCTTCCTCAAGTTTTGTTGTAATACATATTTCAATTTAAACAATTTGACAATTTCATAATTAAAAATATAGTAAAAATCCTCTGCATTTATTTATTAACGCTTAATAAACGCTGATAAAATGATAAACGCTTGACATATCTCGTGCCAAGTTTACTACATGTTTGAAAAGATCAGTGTGAACATTATTTGTGTTACACAAAGTCACATCGTTTTAGATCGAAATGAGTGTAAATGTTATATATAAACCAGGTGAATGATAGACAATACTTTACAATAGACAAAACTTTTCACTTTACATGAACCCTTCAGATTATATATCGGAGTAAAACTGGGAAGTTGGAGAAAAAACTACATGTTGTGATTGAAATATACAGATAAAGTGCAATTAAATGTGTATTTTTGGATCTCAAAACTGACCAGTGCATGAAAATAACAAGATTTGCCTGTGGTTTCTTTCTTTGAGATGATAACGCACTCCTACACTCGTGTTTGATTCATTATATGCCACTTATTTCGCCAAATGACGAACGATAAAAAGGCAATATTTGAGGCTGAACGGGTTCAGATAAGCAGATGTCCTCCTGCTCTCGGTCTGTCTGGGACGCCTGATCTTTGGTTAGGTAACATGTCTTATCTCAGCAGTTAGTGACGCAAAAGTCTGGTTAATGAAACACGTCTGGCTCTGAACCAAGCGTACTTTTCACACAAGCCCTGAAAAGTGAATCTTTTCCGCCCCCCAGTGGCCGGTCCCAGTATAGCTCATAAACCCCGCCTCCCCGTGTTATTCAACGGCACGTGACACCAACTAAACAATTAAATTACACTTCAAATATCATTTTCCAAAGACAGTTTCTGTCATTTACTGTAGTTTTTAATCACGCTGATATAATTTCAAGTGTTTGTTTTTAGTTATTTGATGCGGTTATTGTTATTGAAGCACCAACAGGATCTTCGGAGGACTGAGGAGATTGGAGCTTTAAATTTAAAATCTAAATTTCTATAATTTCTAAATAAAAGTGCGGGGCCGTGTGCTAGCGATCGATTCTGCGAGAGTGAGGGCGGGGCCTTGATTTCGCGGCTTTACTTCCTGCTCACGTCTGGTGCCGAGATCGCTACTATCGGGACACTCGCGGCTTCACTTCTTGACCAATGGAAGAGAGCGAAGGGGCGTCGTCCATCTTTTTTTTTGTCTATGATCCGTCAAACGCACATATTTATAGACTAAACGCATGATACGTATGCGTTCGCCGTCAGCGTTTTCACAAATTCACGTTTTTAAAGTTTACACGATTTCTAATTTTTCAAATCTTGCGTCTTGGATCCTGTTTGAAGGTTTGCGTTCTCCAGAGACACTGCCGTCGTGCGAATGAACGGCCAGAACGCATTAAACGTTTCTGTTTTCTGTTCGAACGATGTCGTGTTAGCGGCCGCTAAGTGAATAACTAATGATCTGTGCGACGGGAGTGAATCAATCAAAGCTAACTTTAATATCTGGACGATAACTTTATTCTAGAAGCCTAAACACTCTGTTACTGTAATCTCCTGTTATCACTGCTGTGAAACAATATTCAGTCGATCAAAACCTTTCATGAATTTAACAAAATACGTTCAACTTTGAGCTTTTTTTGAATCAACATTTTCAAATAGCGCTATATAAACGAAGGTAACCTGACTGCAAATTTCCTCTCTTTCACAGGTTAAAATGGGCGTCTCTTCTGCTGACCAATCAGATGCTTAGTTTCCCATGGGGGTCGTCACTACCATGGACCCGGATTCTTCCCGGCAACCGCAGGGCAAGTTAGGTAACGCTAGCCACGCTGTGATCGAAGCTAACGTGGGCCCTCGAGGAAAGCATTATCTGTGCGGCTCGTTCGCCGCGTTCACCAACATCATCGTGACCTTCCCCATCCAGAAGCTTTTGTTCCGGCAACAGCTTCACGGCGTCCGCGTGACCGAAGCCGTCCGACAGCTACAGCGCGACGGATTGGGTCGTTTGTACCGCGGGCTTCTTCCGCCTCTCCTGCAGAAAACCACGACCGTGGCCATAATGTTCGGCTTGTATGAGGATTTTTCCCGGTTGCTTCTGCGTCACGCGCGGAGTAGCGGAACGCCCGAGATTGTTACGCGTAGCACCGCCGCGGCGCTAGCCGGCACAGCTGAGGCTGCGCTAACGCCGTTCGAGCGTGTGCAAACGCTTCTTCAGGATCACCGGCACAACGGGCGCTTTAACAACACCGCACACACCTTTAGGACTCTCCTGCGGGATTACGGCGTGAGGGAGTGTTACCGTGGCCTAGTCCCGGTTTTACTGCGCAACGGCCCGAGTAACGTGCTGTTTTTCGGGTTGCGTGGGCCGATTAGGCAACGGCTTCCCGACGCCCGCACCCGCGCGGGTCACATAGCTAATGACTTTGTGTGTGGCGGGCTGCTAGGCGCGGCGTTGGGAATCATGTTCTACCCGCTAAACGTGGTTAAGTCGCGAGCGCAGGCCCAAGTCGGAGGCGAGTTCGTTCCCTGTCGGCAGGTTCTGATGACGGTGTGGCGGGAACGAGGCGGGAGCGTCGCGATGCTGTTCCGCGGAGCTACGCTCAACTACCATCGCTCTCTTCTGTCCTGGGGGATCATCAACGCCACGTACGAGCTGCTCCTCAAAGTTTTCTGATGGTGCACTTTTTTCCCAGTACAAGCCAAAATTGAGGGTTTCCCAGCTGCACTTAAATGCACAATCCACTTATACATGTAAATACTGGCGTCGTTGTTCAACTATTTCTTCTGTGGAATCGAAAAGATGATGTTTTGAAAGTTTTGGACCCCATTGACTTCCATTGGTTTCCAACATCCTTCAGAATATCTTGTTTTTTTTCTAGAAGAGATATTGGTTTGGAATGAATGATTGCTATTTTGATTTTTTTTTAAGTGTAACATCTGCACTTAATGACGTGCCGATGCTGATAAAGTCCGCCCATGTTACCCGGCTACTATAAGTGTTGTGGAGTGTATCGTATGTTTCTGTATTGGCTCTTTTACTCACTTTATTGGGGGTCTGTGGGACAGGGATTGAGGAAGCACGGTGTTGCACTACTGACATTACATTTATAAGTGTCACGCGCAGTTTAACTGAGCGTTCGTTCATGTGTGTGATTTGTGGATCCCACACACACACAATATCAAGCCCATGATGATATTGTTTTTGCCAATCAATCAGAAAACATCCAGATGTATTCGAAGATTTTCATGAAATGCTATTTTTATGTAACAAGTGCTTTTTGCGACATAAATGAAATGTTCACGTTTTTGTGGGTGGAAAGTAAACAATTACTCTAATTGCATTCTGGGTGTCATTATTGACGTTTATGATGGTTAGGGTTATTCATTTCTGTTTTATCCGTTTCTATACAATTTGGTGCATGTTATTTAGATTTTTTTTTTTTTTGTTAACTTTTCATTAATCAGTTCTCAATTGATAATCAATTTTATTTTGTTTCGCTTGAAAATGTTACGTTGTGACTTTAAACTAAAAAAGCTTATTTTTATTTTTACAGGAAAATCAAATGCTATAAATACAAGATGAATCCTTCTCAGCGGTGGCAATCCCATAATTCTTTACAAGCACAGTAAAAAACAATCAATATGGTGTTGAGGAATATTTGTATTATTTAGACTATTTCGCCTAATATTTGTGTCTTATCAGGTGTATTATGGGTATAAATGTTATGTATTACAGCTTCTCCATGCTAACACCATGCATGTGATTCGAGGGGACGTATTCGTCAGGTCTTAATATAGTGCTTTTCACAATATACATCCATTTCAAAGCAGCTTTACAGACTGGATCACTAGACTACAGTAATTAATTATTATATATTGTAGGGATGGGCAACAATTAATCGCGATTAATCGCATCCAAAATAAAAGTTTGTGTTTACATAATATATGTATAATTAATTTGTATATATAAATACCCACACATGCATGTGTATATTTAAGAAAAATGTGTTATTAATGTATCAAATATTTATATTTATATATAATATTAATTATGTGTAAATATATATAAAGTATATACAAGCAAATATTTCTTAAATGTATACATGCATGTTTGTGTATTTATATATACAAATGAATTATACACACTACACACATATTATGTAAACACAAACTTTTATTTTGGATGCGATTAATCGCGATTAATCGTTACCCATCCCTTATGTATTAGCTATCTTGTACATGATTTCAGTTTGAAAATCCCTCTTTTCTGCTGGAAAGTTAATGCTTATTTCTCTTATTTACTTGTATGGTTAAGATTTCTCCAACTCAGAGTTAGGATGCTGTGTTAAAAGGTAGTTGCCTATGTAGACAGCAAGGGAGGTGAACTACGTTTTGGAACAGCTCCTAAACTCTTAGAAGAAGAGATCCAAGTGAAGCTCGAAAAATTTGAATATGGTGCAAAAGTTACTTAAAAGTTGAAACTAATATATTATATAGACTCATGCAAAGTGAGATTTCAAGTCTTTAATGTCTAACATTTTTGGATGTTGACATGTTTTTGAGTTTTAAACATAATTTAACTGAGTGTAAAATGACCTAAAGCACAGTTTCCTATATATGACGCATTTACAATAGAAAAGAAAACATCTTTCAGTGCTCCCTCTGTCACAAAGCCACAGATCACTGTGTGTGTGTGTGTGTGTGTGTGTGTGCTCAATCCCATCATTACCTCAGTTTGAACTGTGCAAGTCTTCGTCTGAGTTTAATCCAAGGCCTAATCTGTAATCTCCTGCGAACTCACAAACAAATACAGTGTGACAATTCACGCTTTCAGGGACTGGTAGACTTATAAAACACAAAATATTGCAAAATAACAGATGTGAATAACAAATAAAACCAAATAAACATAAAATCACGCAGCGATTTATTAACATGCAAACCTCACAAAACGGGTCAATAACGGTAATATTTCAATATCCCAAAATCAACAGAAATTATGTTGCTAAAGAAAATTTTAAAATAATAATAATACATTAGTTCCATAGCAATCGTCATTCAAAATCAAACCTTTATTATCATGAACGCAGTAGAGGGAATGCAAAGCATATTCTCGATCGTCCCTTCTCATTTGAGCTTTTTGTTTTGTGCACTTTGAAAGGCAATCGTCTGCATACGACACGTCTCAATACATACGGTCCTTACAAGCAGTTTTTTTTGTTGCTACAAACGCAATGGCAGTTCATAGGACCTTCATATTACAGGAAGATTTCAAGTTCGATATGAAAGTAATTTCTGTGAGAAGAATGAATAATAACACGTTACATATTTGTCTCTTTCCTTCTAATGACAAACTAGCTTTGCGTCATCTGACTTGCTAACCACAATCTGTGTGTGTGTGTGTTTGCTTAATGGAGTGTCTAATATGGGTGATAATTCTTTACATTAGAAAATTGCTTCCAGATGGCAAGTAACTTGAACTAAACGAGGATGATGTCATAATTCATCCATTGACCTCAGGTTGGTCATGTGATCTGGGTGATTTAATTATGTATTCTGGACGGAAGTTGCGCTTTTAAACGTGATCTGGAAATGGACATCATTTTAACCCACATAATACTGGTCTGAGATCAGATCATGGCAACTGAATATGCTCAAGTACTCAAAATTTAGAGTATAGATCATATTTTTATGATGTACAAATCCTAAATAAGCGTCCTTAGACCTGAAACATACTTAACGTGCTCTGTTGCATAAACAAACCCAGGGGCTGATAGAGTTTCCTTCACATGTCAGATTTGTTGTTATTCTGGTTGCTGGCTGTAATAACTTGCTCGGCAAGATTCTCTTCAAACGGTTGCTCAGCCATGATAGTAGGCCGTTTACGCTAATGTGCTGCAATGATGCTAAAAAGGCAGTGTGTTATGCGTTACGCTATGAAATTGAGCAGGGGCCTGTACCATGAAGCCGGTTTAGGTGGATAGCCAGGTGTTTGTAAGTTTAGTTAGCACCAACCCTGGGTTTTTGGCACTCTATGAAAGTGGTTTAGTGTGTTCATCGCCATAGTAACTCGCGCTCCACGGCTAACCTGATCTCAAACCGGACTTGGACCAATCAGCTGTGAGCAAAGTGATGCGATAAAGTCACTCCACCTGTTTCCACTCCACATTAAAGCTCAACACAAAAATTTTAGTAGTAGCTTTTAATAGTGCTTACTTAAAATATGAATTTTGTGTGATTTAGGTGTATTATGTAATTATTATACCCTTAATCGATCACACATGTACAATTTTATTATTATCTGGCAGAGTTTAAATGAATAATATATAAATCGATGACTACATGTTCAAATCTTTCTGTATAAACTATATAAACTAACTGGAGACCGTTGTCCTTTTTCATAGTAAACATGTAAATTTGTTTAAATTCTTAATATTTTATGTAACAAGTGAATTGCGCAGCTTCTCTCGTTTCGAATGAGTTTCTCAGGCTGTTCGCGACTGATGATGTCACTCCTAAACTCAGGATCAAAGCCTGAGCTGACAAGAGAGCATCATGGGACCAACAAACCCTGGTTGGATTGGTTTAGTTTGGTCAACTCTAAACTAATCCTGCAACACTTAGTTTGTTCAACTACCATCAGGCCCCAGTTGTCATTAGAAGCAACTGCATTGTGTGGAGCATGTTTCTGGCCTTATGGATGTTTAATACATACGCCACTTTAAAAAACATTTTCTAAACCTTTTTGTTTAAATTAAACAGAAGGCAAAATAAACATATACGCTGCGTTTGCATAATGATGCAATCGAAAAAAAAAAAACGTTCACAACGACCCTCCAAGATTAAATATAAGGCCTAGGTTTGCCAGGGAAGTCCTCTAAAGTGAAAACATTAGTGATTTACAACAAATTGAAAATTATTTTGATATGTATAAAATGTAAGAAAGTATAATATGTGGAAAATTTCGGATACAAATCGTGAAGCTTGCATAGTCAAAAATGGGGGAAGAGTGAGAATTTGAGTGGTTTGGCTATCGGTGGGATTGCTACAGTAACATGGTGACAACGTTGTTGTGTAAACACGCCCCAATTGTGCTATTACGTCTTTGGACCACACCAATCTCTGTGGTTGACAGTCAGCTGATAAGTCAATATAAAAACGAACATCAAAAGCCAAACCTGACACGCCGACATGGTTACAAAAATCCCAAACGGCCACACTTCTATTGCCACCAACTCTCATTCTACAGTCAGGAAAACCTATTGTAGACTGGATGAAATGAAAGTCCTTTGGATCGTCTGTTGAGACGCTACTGCATAAGTATTTGGGTTTTTTAGTGTTTTGTCCCAGCATCTACTGTTGACAGCAACATGGTGTCGGCCCACATCTATCCGCGTTTCCACCGCAATTACCAGGAACTATTTGTCCCAGGAACTTTTTCCCCCCCAGACCGCTTGCTAACTGCGTTAACACCGCGGGCTAAAGTACCTGTCCAGGGCGGGAAGATTATGTAGTGACGTTGAACTGCGTGCGACTGCTCTTCCTAGCCTGCGCGTTTGATTTGAGTTTTGTATGGAGGAGATTCAAGCTGTGCTGCTTTTGTGTGCGATTGGTTTACTAACGAGGTAATTAACAAAAAGCGTATTCAGAAAGCTTGTAATGCTAGATATTAAAAGTAGACGTTTGTTATCAGCGGACATTGACCGTGAGATGGATGAGACAAACGCGCTCCATCGGGCAGAAAGAATAGCGTGGTGAGAACCAATCAGCATGTTCGGCGCACAAGCCCCACCCCGAAAGTTCCTGAACTCTGAAAAAGTACCACCTCGCCAGCAGGGACTGTCTGGGGGGGAGATTTTTACCCGGAACTTCATTTAGACCCTGGTTCCTGCGGTGTAAACACAGCGAGAACCACCCCAAAGTTCCTAGTTCCTGCGGTGGAAACGCGGCTTATCTGATACACATGGATTCCACACGACCCAGATGTAGGCCCGATCTGGTACACATGGATTCCTCATGAACGAGATCCGGCCCATATCTAATACACATGGATTCCACATCTGGTACACATGGATTCCACACGGCCCAGATGTAGGCCCGATCTGGTACACATGGATTCCTCATGAACGAGATCCAGCCCATATCTAATACACATGGATTCCACATCTGGTACACATGGAATCCACACGGCCCAGATGTAGACCAGATCTAGTACACATGGATTCCACACGGCCCACATCTGGTACACATGGAAACGTTATGGCCCAGATCCGGCCCACATCTGGTACACATGGAAACGTTATGGCCCAGATCCGGCCCACATCTGGTACACATGGATTCCACACGGTCCACATCTGGTACACATGGAAACATTATGGCCCAGATCCGGCCCACATCTGGTACACATGGATTCCACACGGCCCAATTGTAGACCGAACTTGTACACATGGATTCCACACTGCCCAATTGTAGACCGAACTAGTACACATGGATTCCACACGGCCCAATTGTAGACCGAACTAGTACACATGGATTCCACACGGCCCAATTGTAGACCGAACTAGTACACATGGATTCCACACGGCCCAATTGTAGACCGAACTAGTACACATGGATTCCACACGGCCCAATTGTAGACCGAACTAGTACACATGGATTCCACACGGCCCAATTGTAGACCGAACTAGTACACATGGATTCCACACGGCCCAATTATAGACCGAACTAGTACACATGGATTCCACACGGCCCAATTATAGACCGAACTAGTACACATGGATTCCACACGGCCCAATTGTAGACCGAACTAGTACACATGGATTCCACACGGCCCAATTATAGACCGAACTAGTACACATGGATTCCACACGGCCCAGATGTAGACCGAACTAGTACACATGGATTCCACACGGCCCAATTATAGACCGAACTAGTACACATGGATTCCACACGGTCCACATCTGGTACACATGGAAACATTATGGCCCAGATCCGGCCAACATCTGGTCCACATGGAAACCACACGGTCCACATTTGGTACACATGGAAACATTATGGCCCAGATCCGGCCCACATCTGGTACACATGGAAACATTATGGCCCAGATCCGGCCCACATCTGATACACATGAGCCGCTTTCCGACCGGAGGGACTTTTGCAGTTCCTAGAACCTAACGTTCCTATAACCCTTTTTTTCTCGTGTTCCGACTGAACTAAATTGGGGATTTTTTAGTTCCTCAGACCGTAGTTCCTATAACTCATTCAGTACCTAGTCTAGAGCGAGGACTTTTTTAGTTTTTTAGTTTCCCTAGGTCTACGTTGATTGGTTCAACTTATAAGCCATGCCTACTGTCAACATGGAACTTGTAGCGCGCTGTCTGCCATACGCTGTGTGTTTTTGCAAAACATTACAACGAGGATTAAGACAAACATAACGCATTCAACCAGCCAATTACTAATGCTAGCTAAACTTTATCTTCTTCCGTTATATAACTTAATATCATATTACACTTGAGCCTTCGTCTTCTGTTTCTCTGTACAGAACTCAAGCATAATCTTTAAACGCCGCCGTTCGTTCTCTGTCATTAAGGTCCCGGCAAGGCAGAATAGGAACATTGCAATAGCCTCCTCCATGCTGGTTTGTTGTTGTTGTATGTGGCCGCAAGACCGTCGCCGTGCTTGCGTTACCCCTCCTACCAGTTCCTATGGCCACTTGGCCAGTGCGAACGCAAGCAGCAAAACCGAGTTTGGGGGAGAGTAGTTCTTAGAACTGTTTAGAGCAGTTCCTATAACTAAGTTCCTGTAACTACTTGGTCGGAAAGCGGCTATGGATTCCACACGGCTCAGATGTGGGCCAACACTATGTTGCTGTCTGGGGTGTCTGTTCACTTTGTTCCTTCAATCTGTAAAGAGCAGCACAACTAAACTAAACTAAACGTGAAAACGAGTGAAGCTTCATAACACTGTTTAACTCAGTTAGAGCAAGAGGTAGGGATTCACATACACCCAAAACAAACAAAATGCAGGTATGGCAAGTTAGAAACCACGGTGCACATATACTGTATGTAAAAAATAAATACATACTACAGACTGTACATACATCAGGAATTAAAGAACTGTTAGAAAATAGCTATGTCCGAATGCATAATTCCAGTACGTTTATAGGGAGACTTGGCAAGACAAACAGGTTAACATGTAACAGTCCTCACTTGTTAATTCGCTAACTGTGTGTGTGTTCACGGCACTTACTATTACTCTTGTGTGCCAGCACACAATCCGTTTTTAGATGCCAGAAAGGCATCGCTACTTTAAGTACAATTCTCTGCTCGCTCGCTACGATCCCTTGAGAGGGTCCCGGAAGGTACAGTTTAAAAGTTCAGAGGTACATTTCCATTGTCTATGTCTGGTGTCCGTGTACGAAACAGTTGTGTGAGCGAGAAGACTGTTGAGATGAGAACCGTACACTGCTTGGCCAAGAGTCTGACACCCTCGCCCTCTCTTGCTGTTTCTACAGCACCTACAAACTCCTTATACAGGTCCACGATCTCCTCAAGCTTCCCAAGCGCCTCATCTGCATCAATATCCCCATGACATCCTCCGCAGTCCGAACAGGGAACTCGCATGCAGGTTGAGGCAAGTTGCACTAGAGCTCCAAAGCTGTTCCCGAGTGACACGAGAGCATCGTCAGGTGCCCATCCTACCCGTGTGGCTCTCTGGCATCCCGATGCCAACCTTCGTGCCTCCGTCTGAACCAGGCATCTCTCGGTTTCTGAAAGCGAATGCCTATTCACGTTGTCATTTTTGCATTCCCCCTTGAGGGTTGGAGGGTGTACAGTAGAAGGTCCTGTCTTCAACACTAAAATAAGTTCATTAATGTCTCGCTGCAAACAAGCATAGCCGTCTTTAAGCCCTGCACCTTTCTGACGGGTAGCATAATGGCGGCCTTGCAAAAAGCTGAGGGGGTTGTCTATTGGTCCGTAGTGGTCTAGAGTCAGAGATTCCAGGGGTCTGGGCGGGATCAGGAGTGGACTGAGTTCTGAGGATGTGGATAAGGGACGAGGGGAATCTCTGAGTAGGGATAGGACATTTGGAGAGGGACCAGAGAGGGTTGCAGGGGAGGCACCTGGGGTGGGTTGAGGTGGTTTACTGATCTGGTTTCGACGGGAGAATTCGTATACGGTCAGATCATCGTCAAAGCCGCAGTTGTCCTCTGTATCTCCGCTGAAACAGTTGGCGTAGACTGTATGGCAGCCACATGCGTCACGGTTTGTAGAGGACAGAGGGGAAGCATTGTCAAGTCGAATCTCTGAAGGGTTGCCTTTGTGTGATTGAGGTTGTTCGGACTTGCAGGTCCCAAAATGCCGGTGCAACTCTGAGGCTTCAGTGGACAATTTCTGCCTCAGGTCAGGATGGCTTGACGACATCGGAGGTTTCCCATTGGTGTCCTTCACGGGAGTTGTGGACACTTCCTCTGGTCCGTCTTTGAGCTTCACAATGACTACTTCAGCATCTTTCTCTTTCCAGTCAATCAAAGATGGCACTGAAGTGGCCTTGGGGGACACCTTTAATTCGTGATTCACACCTGTCCCATTGGTTGCTTTATTACCTGCTGATGAAATAGTGTTGCTGAGTGCTACTGTCCCCAAGATCTCTTGGGAACGGGTGAGGTACCAGGGCATATCTTGAATTTTTCCACGCAAGGCTGTGGCAGACAGACGTCCGGACGAGCCTGTTCTGCTGGGGAAACTAGTCCCGGTTTGAGTTGGATCTTCAGGAACAATATTCACAGACTGAACTGAGGGAGAAGGTAAGGGAGATGGAGATGGGGTAGGAGTGGTTGAAGCACTTGTCGGTTTGACTGTAGAGCTTTTAGCCTTTAGTTCAGTTCTTAGGTTCTCATGACTAAGTGAAACACCCTTACTCAGTGTAGAGGGTGGGGAGGTACTGGAACCATTTCTCTGAGACCAGGGGTGTAGAGAAAGACCATTGGGGGGAACTTTTGCCTTTTCCCCAGGTTTTTGTAACTGGGCATCAACTTCCTTTGAGGGTGGGAGACCATTGGGGGGAACTTTTGCCTTTTCCCCAGGTTTTTGTAACTGGGCATCAACTTCCAGTGACGGTGGCTGTAAACCAATGAATGAAGGCTTGGGAGGAATTGGAGGCTTTGTGTTAATCTGGAGGACTTTATTTTCTGTTTTTATAGTTTCAAGGGAGTCTGATGATCGTTGTTGTAGAGGAGCCTTTTTGTCTGCTGTTATTTTCCCAAATTCAGTTGTTCCTTTGGCATTTGTTGGCTCTTTCTGACTTGGCTTAATGTCTTGACTAAGTCCTTCAAGATCCACATGATTTGGAATAGTCTTCTTTTCTAGACAAGCTGGGATATGGTCAGATATTCCATTTTGATGTCTGGGTCCATTTTGAAGAGTCTCCAGGTCTACCAAGTTCTGCTGGGGAAGGGTAGATTGGCGTACAGCAGTAATTATTGAGGAAGACATTGGTGGTCCAGGGCCCGTGACTGGTTTAAACTCCATGGTTTCTGGCTCCATCTCCAGAAGGTGAGCATTTCGGCCAGGGATGTCCCCATTGCAGTGCTGGGCTTTCTGACCCGTAGAGTGGTTAGCAGAGAAAGGTTTAGGCTCCACAGGTGTAGGTTTAGGGGGCAAAATCATTGAGGGCTGATGGACCTCCAATTCAGGGTTCTTAGACTCAGGGATCAGAGGGGTGAAATGGTTGGCAAGTGAAGGTTTTTCTTTGACGTCCTCTGCTTCCGCACTGTCCTCCTCTTTGCTAGCTCTGAATTCAGGAGCTTTTATCTCGTCCACAATAACCTTGAGGTCATAAACGCTAAGAGAAGGATGCATGTTCTGAGAATTTGAGCTTTTCTCTGCAAAAGAAGAAGAGGTATGAGAGACTTGTACGTTTGATGAAAAAGCATCAATAAAAACTAGAGCCCGACCGATTTTGGAGGCCGATACCAATACAAATATTTTTGGGTTTTAAAATCCGATATTCCGATATATCGGCCGATATTTTATTTTTTTTTCTATATTTTTTTAAAACTGGACATGATAGTCACAAATTTTGTCATGCTTAATTGAGTTAAGAGAACTGATGGGGATGAACTTTTAATTGTTATTCAAGCAATGTATGTATCGTGAACAATTCAACGAGTGTTGCCAACGGGAACGGTGTAGAGTGCCCTCTGGTGGACAAACTATACAACTCCAACACTCATGACATGGTTCAAGCGTGTTTCATCTGTTTTATGTTATTTTTAAAATATTCATTTATCCGCCATTATAACTGCCGATACCGATAGTTTGAAAAGTCCCTAATATCGGCCGATAATATCGGTCTGCTAATATATCGGTCTGGCTCTAATAAAAACCTAGATATTTAACATTTTAAAGGAATATTCCAGGTTCAATACTTGTGGTAATAATATCGATTACCTTCAGAAACATAAATTTGACTCATTACTCAGCAAAAATCATGTAAAATAAATGCAAAAATAATTTAGACAAATTTACAAATTAAATTTACATTTCTGCTTCCACGTTTAGTTTCAAGTGCTTTAACATAACAGTAATTTTAGCTTGTTTTTTTTTTTTTGGGAGGGACCAGTCAAAACATCTTTCTCTATTGCGTTCATCTGTTGCCGATGGAGCTCAACTTGTATTGAACCTGGAACAGTCCTCTAAGGAATGCACATGTTTTCTGGTAAAAAAAGATGGTTCACTGACCTGTGAGGCCTTGGTCTGTGATGGGAGGGGTAAATCGATCTTGGGCATCATAAAATTCATCCTCTGATGAATAACTGTCCCTAGAGCCTTTTGTTTTTTCAGGGACATCTGAGGACACAGTTCCCTTCAGCACAAATTGTGCTTTTATTTTTGAAGATGGTCCCTGTGGTTTAGCTTCATTTGCCTGGTTCTTTGGGAAGCTGTTTCCCTCTTGTCTACATGCTGGATTGTTGTGAATCCTGGTGAAGAGAGCCTGAAAGTTCACTCCTGCTAACTTAGCATTTATGCTGTTAGCGGTACAGGAGGCTAACACTGCCTCAAATTCTGCTGACATGGTGGAAATGTGATCGTCATCGTCCTCCTCGCTCAATGCATCGTCGCTGGCCGCAGGCGGACTCGGCAAGCTGTCTGACATTTGCGAGAGTTCAGAGAAGCACATACCTGAGTTATTATCGTAGGTCAGGTCACGAGGCCGTCCGGGTTTGTTTGAACTGCCCCTGTCATGCAAACGCTCTGACACCTCTAAGAGGTAAGGGTGATGGACATCCAAACTTGAGGCCCCAGATACAAGACCAGAACTTGGCTTTTCTTCCAGAGAGACATCCATTTGGCCAAGCCCACCAATGGCTGCCTTGATACTCTCCTCTAGTGCATTCAACGAGTTACTGGACAGACTGGAGAAGCTGCTGTTGACCCGAGGGTCCGTGTACCATCCAGTCTCCAACAGGGCGTCCATTCTCATGGCGTAATCCTCATCTCCAAAAGACTCTGTCTTGCTCGCCTCGTCTCCTTCATCCTCTAAAAAGGGATGTGTTACAATCACTCTGACTCTTTCTGCTTCCGCTTCGCTTTTTCCCTCGGCTTCCTCTCCTTCCTCCGTTCCATCATTTGTATGAGTGGATATAGTGTCTTCAGTGTCCAGCAGTCCCTCCATGGCATAGTCATCCTCTGAACAGTCTTCAGAATCGCTCCCACATCGAGAAACATACCCTACACCAACACATTAAAAGAAAGATGAGTTTTAAGAGAGAATTATTGACTACAGGGGGACTTTAATGGCTTCAGAAAACTTGAATTAAACAGTGCAAGAGAGAAAAAAAGGTCATGTCATATTACATGCCAGTACCTTCTTCCGCCGGAATGCGTCGCATTTTAGGTCTCGGTCCCCAGCGAAAAACATTGATGTTTGGGTCCACCAGCAGTTTGCAGTATCCGGCCAGGAGACAGGACAGGTCTTTCGCTGCTACGGACTCCATTAACAGGGCAATAGGCTGGAAGTTGCAGGAGAAAGAGATCGTCTGATAGTTTGTTTATATTGAAAAGGAGAGATAAAAACATATTTCTGTCCCTGGGCTTTTATCCACACCTGTATGTTTTGAAGGCCCAGTTTCAGCAATTTAAAGGGATAGTTCAATCAAAATTAAAATTAGCCCATGATTTACTCACCCTGAAGTCATCCTAGGTGTAATGACTTTCTTCTTTCAGGCGAATACAATCGGAGTTATATTAAAAAATGTCCTGGCTTTTCCAAGCGCATCTGTCCATCATAAAAGTGCATCTATTCATCATAAAAGAGCATCTATTCATCATAAAAGTGCATCTATCATCATAAAAGTGCATCTATTCATCATAAAAGTGCATCTATTCATCATAAAAGTGCATCTATCCATCATAAAAGTGCATCTGTCCATCATAAAAGTGCATCTGTCCATCATAAAAGAGCATCTGTCCATCATAAAAGAGCATCTATCCATCATAAAAATGCATCTATCCATCATAAAAGAGCATCTATTCATCATAAAAGAGCATCTATTCATCATAAAAGTGCATCTATCCATCATAAAAGTGCATCTATCCATCATAAAAGAGCATCTGTCCATCATAAAAGAGCATCTATTCATCATAAAAATGCATCTATCCATCATAAAAGAGCATCTATTCATCATAAAAGAGCATCAATTCATCATAAAAGTGCATCTATCCATCATAAAAGAGCATCTATTCATCATAAAAGTGCATCTATCCATCATAAAAGAGCATCTATCCATCATAAAAGAGCATCTATTCATCATAAAAGTGCATCTATCCATCATAAAAGTGCATCTATCCATCATAAAAGTGCATCTATCCATCATAAAAGTGCATCTATTCATCATAAAAGTGCATCTATCCATCATAAAAGTGCATCTATCCATCATAAAAGTGCATCTATCCATCATAAAAGTGCACCTATCCATCATAAAAGTGCATCTGTCCATCATAAAAGAGCATCTATCCATCATAAAAGTGCATCTATCCATCATAAAAGTGCATCTATTCATCATAAAAGAGCATCTATCCATCATAAAAGTGCATCTGTCCATCATAAACGTGCATCTGTCCATCATAAAAGTGCATCTGTCCATCATAAAAGTGCATCTGTCCATCATAAAAGAGCATCTGTCCATCATAAAAGTGCATCTGTCCATCATAAAAGAGCATCTGTCCATCATAAAAGTGCATCTGTCCATCATAAAAGTGCATCTATCCATCATAAAAGAGCATCTGTCCATCATAAAAGTGCATCTGTCCATCATAAACGTGCATCTGTCCATCATAAAAGTGCATCTGTCCATCATAAAAGTGCATCTGTCCATCATAAAAGAGCATCTGTCCATCATAAAAGTGCATCTGTCCATCATAAAAGAGCATCTGTCCATCATAAAAGTGCATCTGTCCATCATAAAAGTGCATCTATCCATCATAAAAGTGCATCTGTCCATCATAAAAGTGCATCTATCCATCATAAAAGTGCATCTATCCATCATAAAAGTGCATCTGTCCATCATAAAAGTGCATCTGTCCATCATAAAAGTGCATCTATCCATCATAAAAGTGCATCTGTCCATCATAAAAGAGCATCTGTCCATCATAAAAGTGCATCTGTCCATCATAAAAGTGCATCTATCCATCATAAAAGTGCATCTGTCCATCATAAAAGTGCATCTATCCATCATAAAAGTGCATCTATCCATCATAAAAGTGCATCTATCCATCATAAAAGTGCATCTATCCATCATAAAAGTGCATCTATCCATCATAAAAGTGCATCTGTCCATCATAAAAGTGCATCTGTCCATCATAAAAGTGCATCTATCCATCATAAAAGTGCATCCGTCCATCATAAAAGTGCATCTATCCATCATAAAAGTGCATCTATTCATCATAAAAGTGCATCTATCCATCATAAAAGTGCATCTATCCATCATAAAAGTGCATCTGTCCATCATAAAAGTGCATCTATCCATCATAAAAGTGCATCTATCCATCATAAAAGAGCATCTATTCATCATAAAAGTGCATCTATCCATCATAAAAGAGCATCTGTCCATCATAAAAGAGCATCTATCCATCATAAAAGAGCATCTATTCATCATAAAAGTGCATCTATCCATCATAAAAGAGCATCTATTCATCATAAAAGTGCATCTATCCATCATAAAAGAGCATCTATTCATCATAAAAGTGCATCTGTCCATCATAAAAGAGCATCTATTCATCATAAAAGTGCATCTATCCATCATTAAAGAGCATCTATTCATCATAAAAGTGCATCTATCCATCATAAAAGTGCATCTATCCATCATAAAAGTGCATCCGTCCATCATAAAAGTGCATCTATCCATCATAAAAGTGCATCTATTTATCATAAAAGTGCATCTATCCATCATAAAAGTGCATCTATCCATCATAAAAGAGCATCTGTCCATCATAAAAGAGCATCTGTCCATCATAAAAGAGCATCTATTCATCATAAAAGTGCATCTGTCCATCATAAAAGAGCATCTGTCCATCATAAAAGTGCATCTGTCCATCATAAAAGAGCATCTATTCATCATAAAAGTGCATCTGTCCATCATAAAAGTGCATCTATCCATCATAAAAGTGCATCTGTCCATCATAAAAGAGCATCTGTCCATCATAAAAGTGCATCTGTCCATCATAAAAGAGCATCTGTCCATCATAATAAAAGTGCTCCACAGGTTAATAAAGACCTTCTGCGTTTGTGTAAGAAAAATATTCATATTTAAAACTTTATCGACTAAAATAACCACTTATATGAACTTCAAAACAGAAACACTAATTCACTGCCATTATAAAGCTTGGAAGAGTCGGGACATTTTTAGATATAACTCTGACTGTATTCGTCTGAAGGAAGAACGGATGACATCAGGGTGAGTAAATCATCTTTGGGTGAACGATCCCTTTAACAATGTTAATTTGAATCTGTTGGCAGACGTGTACACACCTGGATGTCCTGCAGGTAAATCTTCACCATGCTGACTCGGTCAGACTCTGAGAGCACTTCTATTCGGGTGATGTAGTGGAAGTCAATGATGGTGGAGATCATGTTGAGCTGGTGATTTAGTATTTGACTGATCCCGTATCTCGCTCCCACCAGCAAACTCACCAGCGACTCCCTGTCCTGCAGCTGTAAGACACACATTTACACCAACGTTCATTAATATATAAAGGATATAGGTAGCCCATATCACGCTCTTTTACAGTGATGTAGTTTCAGGCTCTACTAGATTATTCTCCATTGTTGCGGCTCCTCTCTTCCCAGTCTGTCAGTAACGCTCTGTTTACTTCCTGTCTCCTCCTTCTGAAAGCACACTGTGCTCTGATTGGTCGGCTGGATCAGTGTGTTGTGATTGGTCGAGCGCTTTGAGTGTGTTTGGAAAGTCCCGCCCCCTTCCATAACCACCAGTTTAACACACTACTAACTAACTCAACCAGGCCCCGCCCCTTTATTCTGCGCATGAATTATTATAATGAGGAATATTGTGACGTGTTCGTTCCCAGGAGAAACTCCAGACTACAATGGAGGCGTTTCAGGAGTTCAGAAACACTGACACTCATATAGAGAAGAACTGGAGCGTTTCACACTAGAGAAAGATGAATAAAAAACAGTAGGTCGTCTTTATCTGATTCATGAATGAACAAATCCTATGAGCAAGGTCATTTAACGAATCACTCGTTTCAGGGTTTATTTTTATGCCATTGCGAAAGACGCAGCTATTTTATCCAAATCTCTTCCCGCCTAGAACAGCCAGCTTATATAACATGATCAAAATTAATATCCTTGAAAATGGGAGGATGCTTGACGAGATTTTATCCAGCGTAACATTATCTTCCAAAGAAAGATTTAAAAAAAGGAGGAAATTTGCTTGGAAAAATGCAATAAGGTTCTTCATAACCCCCAATAAAATATGCAAACTGGGAATCAAAAGGCTAGTGAATGCTGGAGAAAATGTGCAACTATAATGGCAGGATCTGAATAGAGAAATGCAATGAGTGTATGAATCTTGAGTGTAACTTTAAAACAGAAATTGTAAATGATGTGGAAGTGGTTGAAAAAAGATGAAAAGATTACATTGGCTACAGAAAATGAGAAAAAATGTGTAACCCTTGACATAACGTATTGCAGAATTTGATCGAATCATGTGATCATGAATGTGACCAGTGCATGTCTATGGATGTGTGTGTACATGTGTACACAACTATATGTTATGATGAGTACATACATATGTATTGTAAGTTAGTGCTGGGCGGTGTACCGGTCCATACCGATACCGGGGTTTATTTTTGTTATGATATTAATATTTAATATTCCACAATACTATGTTGCTTAAACACTGTTGCACTGGTGATGCACCATGAAAACCGAGCGTTTTTCAGCTACGGTAGAAAATAGCCTATTATTTATTCATTTTGATGGTTTTTATTGTAAAAACCAAGCGAACATCATAAGTTGAACTCAGACAACACAATAAAATGATTTAAAAAGCCAGTTCGTGACCCCTTTAAAACTAGTGTGGAACCCAATATTCACTCAAGACAGTAATAAAAGGCATTCTAACCCAAATAATAATACCGTCATATATCGGAATTCGCCCAGCACTATTGTGAATGTTTTTTTTTATTTCTTTCTTTTATGTATTTGTATGGTAAAAAAATAAATAAATAAAAAGAGAGGCAAATAAACACAGCGTGTCTGTGTCAAATACATTCCTGCTGAGTGCGTCAGGTGCAGGACGTCTCTCACCAGCATGGTGGCGCTGTAGCTCCTCCCACTGTACGACATCAGCTCCGCCATCTGGGTCAGATAGGCCAGCCGGGCCTGAGACGCAGAGATCACCTGAGGGGGCGACAGAGAGGCTCAGCAGTGGGATGCACACGCTAAATACACATTCGACACGGAAACCCAGTGTGTTTGATTAAATGTGCAGGATATAACCTACAGGATCATTTTCGACACAATATACATATAAATATGTGCATATAAAAATATAAATATAAATATACACACTGCCGTTCAAAAGTTTGGGATCGGTAAGATTTTTATGTTTTTAGAAGTCTCTTCTGCTCACCAAAGCTGCATTTATTTGATTAAAAAAAACTAATATTGTTAAATATTATTACAATTTAAAATAACCGTTTTCTATTTTAATATATTTTAAAGTGTAATTTATTCCTGTGATCAAAGCTGAATTTATCATCATTACTCCAGTCTTCAGTGTCACATGATCCTTCAGAAATCACTCTAATATGAGGATCTGATGCTCAAGAAATATGATTATTATCAGTGATTTGATTATCAGAAACAGTTATGCGCAATTTTAGAAGTCTTCTATGGAAGCTTGTTTCTGCCACTGAATAAATAAAATAAAAAAAATAATTGCGACAATTGTGAGATATGAAGTCGCAATTCTGAGAAATAAAATCGCAATTCGGAGAAATAAAGTCGCAATTCTGAGAAATAAATCACAATTCTGAGAAATAAAGTCACAATTCTGAGAAATAAAGTCACAATTCTGAGAAATAAATCACAATTCTGAGAAATAAAGTCACAATTCTGAGAAATAAATCGCAATTCTGAGAAATAAAGTCGCAATTCTGAGAAATAAATCACAATTCTGAGAAATAAAGTCACAATTCTGAGAAATAAAGTCACAATTCTGAGAAATAAATCACAATTCTGAGAAATAAAGTCACAATTCTGAGAAATAAATCGCAATTCTGAGAAATAAAGTCGCAATTCTGAGAAATAAATCGCAATTCTGAGAAATAAAGTCGCAATTCTGAGAAATAAATCACAATTCTGAGAAATAAAGTCACAATTCTGAGAAATAAAGTCGCAATTCTGAGAAATAAATCACAATTCTGAGAAATAAAGTCACAATTCTGAGAAATAAATCACAATTCTGAGAAATAAATCACAATTCTGAGAAATAAATCACAATTCTGAGAAATAAAGTCACAATTCTGAGAAATAAAGTCGCAATTCTGAGAAATAAATCACAATTCTGAGAAATAAATCACAATTCTGAGAAATAAAGTCACAATTCTGAGAAATAAATCACAATTCTGAGAAATAAAGTCACAATTCTGAGAAATAAATCACAATTCTGAGAAATAAATCACAATTCTGAGAAATAAAGTCACAATTCTGAGAAATAAATCGCAATTCTGAGAAATAAAGTCACAATTCTGAGAAATAAATCACAATTCTGAGAAATAAAGTCACAATTCTGAGAAATAAATCACAATTCTGAGAAATAAATCACAATTCTGAGAAATAAAGTCACAATTCTGAGAAATAAAGTCACAATTCTGAGAAATAAATCACAATTCTGAGAAATAAAGTCACAATTCTGAGAAATAAATCACAATTCTGAGAAATAAAGTCACAATTCTGAGAAATAAATCACAATTCTGAGAAATAAATCACAATTCTGAGAAATAAAGTCACAATTCTGAGAAATAAAGTCACAATTCTGAGAAATAAATCACAATTCTGAGAAATAAATCACAATTCTGAGAAATAAAGTCACAATTCTGAGAAATAAATCACAATTCTGAGAAATAAATCACAATTCTGAGAAATAAAGTCACAATTCTGAGAAATAAATCACAATTCTGAGAAATAAATCACAATTCTGAGAAATAAATCACAATTCTGAGAAATAAAGTCACAATTCTGAGAAATAAAGTCACAATTCTGAGAAATAAATCGCAATTCTGAGAAATAAAGTCGCAATTGCAAGAAAAAAAGACAGAATCAAGACTTTTTTTCTCATAATTGTGAGTTTACATCTTGCAATTCCGACTTTATAACATAATTGCGAGTTTATATCTTGAAATTCTGACATCTTTTCTCACAATTATGATATAAACTCGCAATTGCGTCTTATCAGGCCAATTCTAAGGAAAAAAAAGACAACTTTTTTTCCCCTCAGAATAGTTTATATCTGACATTTCTAAACACGCAATTGCGACTATATAAATCAAATCTGACTTTATAACATGCAATTGAGCCTTTATTTCTCAGAATTGCGTGTTATAAAGTCAGAATTACGAGATGTAAACTCGCAACTGTGAGAAAAATAGTCAAAATTACCTTTTTTAATTTTCATTCTGTGGCAGAAACAAGCTTCAATAGTCTTCTCTTAAAAATCTTACCGATCCCAAACTTATATATATCTATATCTTTTATCTACCGCATGGCTTATCACACACACACACACACACACACCTTCTGCCGTGGTTCTAGCAGTGACTGGATCTTCTTCATGTGGTGATTGAGAGCTTTCCGCAGATCTTTCTCTCTCATGTTCCTCAGCAGGGTGGGAGAGATGAAGCTCTCTAAGCCAAACTCCTTACTGACACACACACACACACACACGCATGTTTAATGACAGTTTTATAATGCATCAGAGTATCTGTGAGTGTATCCGTGCGCTCTTACACAACACTCTTAACGGAGGCTCTCGTCGTCTGTCCGCAGCTCGCCAGTTTCTCGTGCATGTGGAGAGCGGCGAGTCTCAGCGCTGTGTTGCACTTCATCTCTACAGCGTAGCGTTCCTGTAACACATCTCCCACACTCTACACACACACACACACACGTACAACAGGGTTACTATAGTTCAAAATTACCTATGAAGTCATGATTAGAACATGTTTTCATGATGGATTTAACACATGGGCACTAACACACACCCGGACCAATGCAGCGCCAGGCGCGACGCTAGTGTGTTTTGCTAGTTTCAGCCCGACGCAGTTTTCATTTTCAAGTCCTGTGCCGCGACGTTTCAGTAGCAAATGCATTTGAGCTTCAGACCGCGGGCTTAGATGGTTAAAATGGCCCCTGAGTGTGTGTTATTGTCCCCATATGTGAGTAGTGCAGTGTGTGACCTGGTGGAAGAGGTACTCGAAGGCCACGGGATCGTCCTGCAGGAGCTCCATGGGGTCTCGTGGGATGAAGCAGACCCTGAACAGACACCTGTAGTCGTGCGAATCCTTCTTCTGCACCACCTGGAGGAGCACAACACCTCGAGCGCTTATTACAAACGCCACTGGTGCAGTTATAGTTATATAGTGCTAGAAAATGGTGTCTTCATGCATGCATAGCACTTGTCTTAGGAAGTTACTCACAATCTAAAGTGATTTAACTGCAGTATTTTACGGAAAGATCCTTCCCAAAAAAATTCACATCAGGAAGTTTTATTATTACATGCAGAAACAAATATTTTACCTTTGCACTCATTATTAACAACATTTATTATAAACACCAAGAGTAAATCAATATACAGCAGTCAACATTTGAAGTGGATCAAAAAAAAGTTGTCGTAAGATAAGAACGGGTATTGTTCAAAATTCATGAAAGGTTTTGATCCACTTCTAATGTTACTACTGTAGTTAAAGCAAAACTTTGAGTAGCGGCGAGTGTGAAATACAAATAACTTGGGCTGAAGTACCGTATGTTAATTGCATTATATCAGTTGCTTTGGATTATAACACAGAACGGCGGTGCACTCGTATCACTATGAGTGGGAGAAAGTGCAACAGCAATATGGCGGATTAAGTCCCGCCTCCTACAGAAAAGAGCCAATCGCTGATTGTTAAATCGCAGATTAATCTTAGAAGCTCCAGTCTCTATAAATACAGTCAGTTTCTGAGACGCCGGGAAAACACTGCTTTCTGTCATGATTCGGGCATTTAGAAACAAAATCTATGAGACGGTGGTTGTCAGATTTCATTGGTGTTTCAAATGTGAAATTTAATCGTAATCTTTTTGATTTTTGGAGAATTTAATGTTTCGCCATTCAAAGAGTGAAAGTACTTGTCAAAAGAGCCTTTTTTTGTTATAATTGTGATGATTATGGATTACAGATTATGAAAACCTCAAAGTCAAAATTAGAATATTGTGAAAAGGTTTTCCCATAATCATCAAAATGATAAGAAATAAAGGCTTGAAATATCTCACTTTGCATGTAATGAGTCTATATAATATATTAGTTTCACCTTTTAAGTTGAATTACTGAAATAAATGAAGTTTTGCACCATATTCTAATTTATAATAACATAAAGTAGCAATACAATAACATGGCAATAAAAAAAGAAAAACTGAAGGATGATGGAAAGAATCAGTGAAATATTTTTTGAACTGGCAGACTGGAATGAACAGTCCAAATGAACCAATTCACTAATATGAATCAGAGAGAGAGAGACTGTATGTGTGTTTCAATAATGGTGCACAGTAGTCGCTATATAGACTGAAGATGATGTGTGTGTTGCTTGCCTTCTGTATGAGCTCGTCCTCGTGCAGCAACAGTAGTTTAGTGATGCTGTATTGCTGTTCCAGGACCAGTGAGAAATGCTCAATCGAGCGAATGGACAGCCTTTCTTTCAGAGTCAACACGATGTCCTGCACACAGAGAAAACCACATCCACACAACGGCATTACGCAATCTGGACGTTAGTGAGAAGTCAAGTCCGCTTTATTTATATACAATACTGACTGTTTCAAAGCAGCTTTACAGAAAATAATGCAGCAAAGTTTCTTTCCAGAAGGAAAAAGCGTCATTAGTCAGTTCAGTGATGCTTCATTTTGTTGTAAAAAAGTTATTAGTTTAGTTTATTTATAGATTTAGCCACTCTGGAGAAAAGCGTGATGTCATCGTCCAGCTCAGTTCAGTTCTCATATGATGCTGTCAATGCAGGAGATCAATAATATTGCTGAATATTTAATGAAATTAAACTTAGAAGTAAAGAAGTAAATAGGAAATTCTTATGATAAAATCCCCGCTGACTGTCGAATGCAGTTATACGCCTCAGGAATGAAGGAAATGACTCTGTAGTAAATGATTCATTCAGGAAGGAGGGTAAATTACTCTCTTTATGAATCATTGGTTCAATCGGGTGAACCAATGATTCATAAAGAGAGTCATTTACTTCATTCCTGAATGAATCAGCCGTTTGAACGAATCAATCGGGTGAACCAATGATTCATAAAGAGAGTCATTTACTTCATTCCTGAATGAATCAGCCGCTTGAATGAATCAATCGGGTGAACCAATAATTCATAAAGAGAGTCATTTACTTCATTCCTGAATGAATCAGCCGTTTGAATGAATCAATCGGGTGAACCAATGATTCATAAAGAGAGTAATTTACTTCATTCCTGAATGAATCAGCCGTTTGAACGAATCAATCGGGTGAACCAATGATTCATAAAGAGAGTAATTTACTTCATTCCTGAATGAATCAGCCGTTTGAAAGAAAAAAATCGGGTGAACCAATGATTCATAAAGAGAGTCATTTACTTCATTCCTGAATGAATCAGCCGTTTGAACGAATCAATCGGGTGAACCAATGATTCATAAAGAGAGTCATTTACTTCATTCCTGAATGAATCAGCCGTTTGAACGAATTAATCGGGTGAAACAATGGTTCATAAAGAGAGTCATTTACTTCATTCCTTAATGAATCAGCCGTTTGAAAAAATCAATCGGGTGAACCAATGATTCATAAAGAGAGTCATTTACTTCATTCCTGAATGAATCAGCCGTTTGAATGAATCAATCGGGTGAACCAATGATTCATAAAGAGAGTCATTTACTTCATTCCTGAATGAATCAGCCGTTTGAATGAATCAATCGGGTGAACCAATGATTCATAAAGAGAGTCATTTACTACATTCCTGAATGAATCAGCCGTTTGAACGAATCAATCGGGTGAACCAATGATTCATAAAGAGAGTCATTTACTACATTCCTGAATGAATCAGCCGTTTGAACGAATTAATCGGGTGAACCAATGGTTCATAAAGAGAGTCATTTACTTAATTCCTGAATGAATCAGCCATTTGAACGAATCAATCGGGTGAACCAATGATTCATAAAGAGAGTCACTTACTTCATTCCTGAATGAATCAGCCGTTTGAACAAATCCAATGTCTAATTTCTCAGCCAGATTTGAAGTGCAATTCATCATGAAGTTAATTAGATTAACAATTTAAATGGTTAGATAGATAGACAGCCCTAATAAAAACTAAAATAAATCATATTCATGTTAGCTTAGCCTAATGTTAACATAAAATAGTGTTTTTGCCAAATGCATATTTTCATCATTTCACAAAAATAAGGTTAAGAAGATGAATAAGTCCTGAACCCTAAACATCAGTCTCAAACCTTGACGGTGGTGGTCTTGTGGAACTTGAAGGCTTTGGTCTGGCCGTTCTCCAGGTAAACCTTCAGGACGTTGGGAAGGAAGAGAAGAGAGTTTCCCTGGACACAGTGAACAAAATATGGCAGTATTAAAAGATTTATTTTAGGTGCACTTATATTACTATGGCTAGGCAAGGCGAGTTTATTAATATAGCGCATTTCACACACTATTGTAATTCAAAGAAAAAAAAAATTGGACAGGATTAAAAGTCCATCTGTATTATTTAGCTTATGTACTAGCATAACATACAGATACCCAATTAGCCTGATAGCTTAGCATATACACGCATTTGTACTTACCCTACATGTATTCACAATCATCTTTAATGTAATTACGTGTTAATTTAACTTTTTCGACAGAGTTGAAATTTGAAGTCACCAAAATAAACACGCCCCTCCCCATTAAGATCTTGTTGGCTCCACCCTCAAATTTACAAGCACACTATGTAACACAGGCTCCTCCCCCCAAAATGAGTGGACACGCCCCTTATTGCTGATTGGCTACAATTTTATCAACTTTCAACAGCGTTTCTCAGAAAATCACTTACTGCGCCTTTAAATGTCCAAATACTTCAGTTATAAAATAATGTAGTGTTCAATTACTCACTTAATAGGCTATTATTAGTTTAAAGTCCCCCTGAAGTCAATAATTGTATCCCTCAAAACAACAACAAAATTACAGATTTAAATGTTTTTTCCTTGAAAAGAAATCTTCATCTTCATCTTGAATGTAACTCGACACCCTCGCCTCATTTAGTATGTGCAGTTCTATGAATATGCAAATTAGCTCCGCCTCCACTCACTCACTCACAGATCCACTGGTTGATCTGATTGGTTGGGTAGTGTGTGGCGTCAGGGTTGGCTTTACCTGAGTGTGTCCGTTGACGACCACCTCTTCTGCAAAGCGCACTTTAACGGGGTTTCTTCTCAGGCGAGCTCTCTTCTCTGCCGTAATGAATGAAGACTTGGGATTCTGAAAGCAAAAAGAAGCTTTTCTTTTAGGGGTGTAACAATGTATATCGTGTCACAGTATATCACAAAAATGCAGCAATATGTTTTATGTATAGTTCACCCAAAATAAAAATGAAATTAACGTTTTTACGCTTTGTGTCAGTACTATATTAAACTACTATATATAATGTTGAATATAATGTATAATAATGTAATGGGGAATATTTGTGGGTCCTGATAATGTCTGATGTTATCAGTAAAAGATGGCCGGCATTATTTTAAATATATCTAGTCAGTGACAGATTGAAAAAATATTTGTGTACTATAATTCTGTATTTTCAGCTTCAGAATAATGAATATTGTTATTCTGGTGTCTCTATTGTGCTGTAAAAGTGCATCTGTCCATCATAAAAGTGCATCTATCCATCATAAAAGTGCATCTGTCCATCATAAAAGTGCATCTATCCATCATAAAAGTGCATCTATCCATCATAAAAGTGCATCTATCCATCATAAAAGTGCTTCTATCCATCATAAAAGTGCATCTGTCCATCATAAAAGTGCATCTATCCATCATAAAAGTGCATCTGTCCATCATAAAAGTGCATCTATCCATCATAAAAGTGCATCTGTCCATCATAAAAGTGCATCTGTCCATCATAAAAGTGCATCTATCCATCATAAAAGTGCATCTGTCCATCATAAAAGTGCATCTATTCATCAAAAAAAAAGGGCATCTGTCCATCATAAAAGTGCATCTGTCCATCATAAAAGTGCATCTGTCCATCATAAAAGTGCATCTGTCCATCATAAAAGTGCATCTGTGAAAATAATAATCCAGCCCTGGACAATGACCTTGATCTGGGAAAGGCGCTTTATAAATAAAACCTACTGTTAATATTATCAGTAAAAACAACAAACAAGACAACAGGACGAAGAATGGTCAATACACACCGTCATATTTCTGAGGATCGTCATGGTTACAGAGTCCTGGCAATCCCTGAGGGCGGAGCATAAATCATAAATCATAACACATCATGACCTCATCACATTTACACCAGCAGAGTTCTCCAGAGGCGTCCGTCACCTGATCATCCGCTCCGTGTGTTCAGGAGAAAGATCTTCTACCACTTTATTGTTCACTTTTAGGATCTGATCTCCAGGAAAAAGCTGTCCGTCTGCTGGGCCTCCTACAAATAAACACACACGGGATTAAATCTGCTAGACTACGTAGAGTAAAATGATTTTATAAGTGTATACATAAATAAGTGTATGCATTACTTAAGTTAGAAACATAAACAATAGATATGTGCCAATGGCGTCGTCGTTTTTGATTATGAATGTGCCGTTTTGAGTAGAAAATGAACTCCAATTGTCACAAAATGGCAAGTTACTAAAGTAAACCTAACAGCAAAATGAATGATAAACCAGCTGGAAGACAGCCAATCAACCTCATTAATTATTCATTACGCATGATGCTCACAAAAGTTGAGTAGTTTTACTTCATTTTATAACTTAATGAGCAAAAATGAGCCGTAATGTACAATTAACTTCGCTTTTTTAATTCCTGCCTGAACTAACCGAAGTTACATTGGAGTGTTTGAGTCAGTTCTGTCAGCTTCTGTCGTATCGTGAGCTGTATTTGCACGTTTATTATGCCGAGTTCATGTAGAAATGAATGCGATGAGATTCTGTTCCTCGTCCTCGGATTTTAATTGTAAGATTTAACATTTTAATGCTGACCAAAACAACATTTATTTGATCAAAATCACAATGCAGTAACATTTTTAAAAATATTATTACAACTGTGAATATATTTTTAAATGTAATTTATTGTTCAGCATCATTACTCCAGTCTTCAGTGTCACATGACCCTCCAGAAATCCCTGAGGATCTGATGATCAACACACATTTATGGATTGCTATCATTGAATATGTTAAATATGTCAACGTTATAGTGATGAAGTTTGTGAAAGTTGCATTGTTAATTCATTATTCATGTCTGACTGAGAGTCTCTGCATTGCTCTGTCCTGCCATTTACACTCATTTGTCTTCATGCCAAACACACACACACACACACACACACACACACACACACACACAATTATGTGCTGTAGGGCTGTGAGGTTTTCCCTCTGGGCTTTTATCAGCTGTTTCTGCAGCAAAAAAGAGAGACGTCAGCACTGCAGAATCAGTGTGTGTGTGTGTGGGTGTGTGTGTGTGTGTGAGAACACAGGAGCTTTGTTGCCAGATCTAGTGAGTGTGTCGATAACTGTCTCCAGAAACGGAACCTCATGAGTGGCTGATTTGAATTTGAAATTCAAAAGGCGGGAAACATCTTGTGTTGACATGCTAGAGATGTCAGAAATGGAATGAGTCTCCGTAACTAGGCAACAAAGACATTATACGCACAACCGGCGCTGCGTCATAGAATGTCTCTGAATAGGTTCACGCCCACTTTTGGGGGAAAACAAAATAACGGCAAAAAACAACGTCCGTACACAGCCGACAGGCGTAAATCACTTATATAAAACATGTCAAGTAATTATATGTCCACCCTGCCTGCCAAAGAGCCTGAAAGATACATACACAAACCTAATTTAGCCAATTTAAACAGCGTCAAATTACGGTAACAACCCCACCCAGTGGCCAGAGGTGTCTTATCTGGACATTTAATTGTACCTCATCGAGTCACCAGGTAAGCCAGTGAATGATTTTATTTCGTTTTGTAAAGTAAAAAACCTTAATGTATATATGAATTTATTCAGGTAGCCTGGGCTAGTTGATAACGGGCTTAAAAAAATGTATCTTTCACGCTCTATGGCAGGCAGGGTGGACATGTAATTACTTGACATGTTTTATATAAGTGATTTCTTAAGATATTTACTGTGTACGAACGTTGGTTTTTGCCGTTATTTTGTATTGAAGTCTATGGGGAATCTAGTTTGTTTCCCCCAAAAGGGGGCGGGGACAAAATTGACAGTTAAGTTCCCGGATGTGCCGGTTGTGCGTATACACACACATAGACATATATAGGGTTCTACGCATGCGTCAAAACCGCCGCCATCTTGGAACAGGGGTCTTGTCATAGGAAGTAGCTGTGTAACGCTGCTATCTCTGCCTTTACTTCGAATTCATTGATGGTGGCGGACTTTTGTGCAGCGTATGATGTTCACGGATGAAATCTGAACTAGGAAGAATGTTTTAAAAAAAAAAAAAAAAATTTTTTTTCTTTCTGGAATCAATGATAAATACATGTCTGACCGTTGGAACAAACCAAAAAAAACAAGAAAATTCGCATTCATGATGATTTATGGTGATAAATCTTATAAAAGCTTATAATTTTCATTGTCTTTAATCAAACTGATTATTTCTGTCGGTCATTTAAAACGTATTGAAAATCAGCCGTAAATTTGAGCTGCCTACTTGCATCTTAAATACTGTATGATCGTTAACTGAAGCGAAGCGTCGCGTTGGGATTCGCGCTCGGCTCGCGCTTCTATGAACAAAAATCCTGCATTCTTTGATTGGTCCCACGAACATTTTGACATTGACGAGCAGGTGTTTGAGTGCTGAAGCAGATCAGATGAGAAGGTCAGTTATCGTCGCGATGGGAGAATCATTGCAGCAACAAATTAGAGTTAATATCACGGGTACGACTCTAACTGGGTGTTTTTTTTATTCACGAAATTGGATTAGCAACTAAATGATGCGCATCAGAGGGGATTTAGAAGTGGGTATACGCAATGCCGACTGAAAAGGAAGTGGGTATACGCCGTATACCCTGCACTACACCACTGCAGAAGACCCCTGTCTAGTTTTGTAATAATATGAATTATTATGAGATTGGGTTCAGAATGAGAATAGATGAAGGTGTCAGAGTGTGTTTGTGTGTAAGAGGAAGAGATTGTGCACCTGCATCTTAATGAATGAAATAAACGAGAGGAGCAGGTGTTGAGCTCGCAGAACTGACATGAACACACACATCCTATCTAGGAGATTCACTTTTGACAAGCGAAACGATAGTTAGCTGAAACTAAACCCATTTTTTTGTTGCTTTAAATAAAATAAGACTTCAAATCAAAATAAATGAAATCAAAATGAAATATGAAAAACTTGACTTATTTTATTTCAGGTTGCTCGCATGTACTGAAATATCTGAAGCTGTAATAAAAATGAACAGAAACTACACGATAAATTCTTTTTTTTTTTTGACAAATACGTAAAATATAAAATATATTTTAATATCAAATCTAAAATTAAAAACTAATTCAAAGTATTAAAACTTGACAAAAATACAACAAAATGACAAACTTTAGCTAAAATGAAAGAATAATTAATTTAAAAAATATGTAATAAAAAAACGCAAAAAAGGACTAAAACGTTAGCTAAAATTAAAGTGAAAATGGAAAATATAAAAATAATTTAAAAATAATTTAAAAATAATTTTTTTCTTTTTTTTTTACAAAAACACAACAAAATGACAAACTTTAGCTAAAATTAAAATGAAATTCAAAATAGTAATAAAACATGTAATTAGAGAAAAAAAAAAACACACACAAAAGGACTTAAAATTGACCTAAAATGAAAATGGAAAAAATAAAATACTACACAATGTAATCGTATTGGTGTCTCAGTCTGAGAAATATAAAAGATCTCGTTGTGCTGTTTCATGATCTCCTGCACTATAAGGACAGCATCCAAACCCGGCTTCGCTTAGATCATAATCTGTGTTCAAAAACAACCTTCTCCGGCGCGTCCCGTAAGCCGAACTCCACGTGTGTGTGTGTGTGTGTGCACCTGCAGTGACGTCCCTGACCAGCAGGGGGAGCTGTGCTGAGAGACTGAAACCATGAGAGTCCAGGACAGAGTCTCGGATCACTTCCACCGTCACTTTCACTGGGAAGTTCTGCCGGCCCGAATCCCCGGAGCGAGACCTCCTGCCTCCTAAAATACGCTCCCTATGAGAGAGAGAGAGAGAGAGAGAGAGAGAGAGACACATCTTTACTGTCACTTTTGATAAGTTCATGCATTCTTGCTTAAAGGAGTAGTTCAAATGTCCTGATAATTTATTCACCCCCACGTCATCCAATATTCATGTCTTTCTTTCCTCAGTGGAAAAGAAATTAAAGTTTTTGAGATTTTCTCCATATAGTGAGATTTATAGTGAACATTACACACTAAAGACAGAAACACCGAAATATCAAACTACTGTACACTCATTCCACCTCAACAAGCACTGAATCTCACAAGCTTCACAAAGCTGGAATTTATGGCCCATCTGGAAACCAAGGCCATAAAACCTGCAACCCTAATTAATGTGAAACAGTTCTAAGATCTGATTAGTGTGTGTGTGTGTGTGTGTGTGTGTGTGTGTGTGTGTTACTCCACCTGCTGAGAGAGTCTCTTGAACGCCGCAGCCATTTCCCCACGACCTGCTCGACCCGGCCGACCCGACGAGGAGATCGACTTCTGCTTCTCTCGCTCTCCTCCATCTAACTGAAGACAGAGAGAACGATGGAGATAGAATGAGAGAGAGAGAACGAGAGAGAATGATAGAGAGAGAGAATGATAGAGAGAGAGAATGATAGAGAGATCAGTCAACAGAACATGAGGATAATACAGTCTGAAACATAATATTTAAACTCAACAACATCAACATTGGCCATAATTTTCTTCATTAAAGGCCCGTGACTTCTGACGTTGTGAGGCATGTCGGATAGCTTTATGTTAATGAACTCCTAAAAGTTGACGTAATGGAGTGCCGAAGTAACGACATCACTCTGTAGGCCAAAACGCGGAAGTGAGTTAGCATTTTAGCACTACGCTTCCCTCGCTCTAAAGCCTATGGGATTTTTGAATGGGTTTTTGCTAAATGGCCTGAAATAAGGTCTGTGGTGAACAAAGCCTCGAAATATGTTCACGTTTTGATCTATGACACAGAACACACAGTGGTTTTTTAAACTTTATTGTGTCTGATTGTGTTTTTTAAAATCTTTATATAGGCTTCAAAATGTATACATTTTGGATTAACTTGTAAAGATTATCTCTAGAAATATGAGTATTAACAGTTGTGCTGCTTCATAATTCTGTGGAAACCATGATACATTCATTCATTCAAATATATATATATATATATATATTTTTTTTTTTTCAGGCTTCTTTAATGAATAGAAAGTTTCAGCATTTATTTGAAACAGAAATCATTTGTAATATTTTAATCAATTGAATGCATCCTTTCTGAATAAAAGTAATAGTTTCTTTAATCTTACTGTCCCCAAACTTACAGTCTTACGTTAAAGTGTTTATGACATCATCTTGCACTCCAATCTTTTTGTCCAATCAAACGCTCAAGAATGAAAATGCCCCGCCCCACCGAAAGAATCAAGTTTCGTGGCTGTGTTTCAATCTACAGACTATTGAGTATTAAAAGGACTTCCTGTTTCAACAGGACATACATCAGCATAGGAAAGGAAATTCATTTTGCATTCGTAAATGGGTAAAATCCATTTTACTTCAGTTACTGTTGCATTTCAGAGTGAAACAGACACAGCTCATTTCATTCATATTCTCTCTCTCTCTCATATATGCTAATAGCAGTGGCGCAGGCATGAAGTGACACCAGGCCTGGCGTTTAGAGGACAAAACCACGTCACAAAAGAGATCCCACATGCATAATAACATCTACTGATGATAGAAACACACACTGTGCCTCGGCAACACACACACACACACATTCAATCCGTCTAATTACCTGAACATCTTCTCTCAGTCCTGCTGCTACAACGCATCTGATCTCTCTCTTCTAGCCACTCACTGCTGTGTGTGTGTGTGTGTGTGTGTGTGTGTGTGTGTGTGTGTGTGTGTGTGTGTGTGTGTGTGTGTGTGTGTGTTATCCTTACACACTCACAGACCTCTAAACTGCACTTACAAACACATTCTGGACGTCTGATCAATACAGATTTCTTCCTCTGTGTTTCGTCATGCTCAGAATAATCTGCCTGATTATGCACTGGTTCGCGTGGCATTGCATTGCTGGAGAGGGTCATGTGACCTTTAACCTTTGCTCTATGAGTCAATGATTGCGTTCAGATTCAGATGTCTATGAGGTTTAGGCACTAAAACTAAATGCAATGCAAGCTATGCTGAGCATATTAATCCACAACACCGGACAGATACTCTGTGCAAACACACCGATGGAAATGCATGGACTTAAGATGGACACATATCGACGGTTAACAAGCTTAAACTAAAACTAATAATTTAGAGCTAAATTCTAAATTTTAATTAACAAATTTAAGCTAAGTATATGGAATATATATATATATATATATATATATATATATAATTTTTTTTTATGACAAAAGATCATGACAAAATGACTGAATCTTTAATTTAAATTCAAATTAAATATAAAAATACAAAAGCTAATTTAAAATATTAATAAAGAAATCCGAGCTAAAAAATGTTTACTAAATATATATATATATATATATATATATATATATATATATGAAACTCCATGAAAAAAGCCCATGATTTAAAAAAAAAAACTTAAACTAAAATTAAAAATGAAATCTAAAAATATAAAACCTAACTCAAAACATGAATGAATAAGATTAAAAATTATATAAAAATCAAATAAAAATGTCAAAAGCTCACAACAAAATTACTAAATCTTTCATTTAAATTCAAATTAAATATAAAGGCTAATTTAAAATATTAATAAATAAATCCGAGCTAAAAAATGTTTACTAAATATATTTTATATATATATATATATATATATATATATATATGAAGAGTTTAGATGCAAAAGCCTCTAAATGCCATTTGAAATTTTCTTCTTTAATGATGATTTTTATCAAACTTGTATATTTAAGTTCAGTAATTTCACTTAAATAACAATTAATAGGTAATCTTCATTGCAATTTAACTGAAATAACTGAACTTAAATATACAAGTTTGATAAAAATGATCATTCTAGAAGAAAATTTCAAATGGCACTTAGAGGCTTTTGCATCTGAACTCTTCATATATATATATATATATATATATATATATATATTTAAACTCCATGAAAAAATCCCATGATTTTTTTAAACACTTAAACTAAACTTAAAATAAGATTTTATAAGATAAATAAGATTAAAAATGATATAAAAATCAAATAAAAATGTCAAATGACAGCTCATGACAAAATTACTAAAACTTTAATTACTTTAAGAGAAAAGCTCATTTAAAATATGAATATATACTATAATAATATAAAAAAATCCTAAAATAAAAAAACACTGTGACTGTACCATAAATGTTTATATTCACATTCTCGCAGGCCTAAATATAACAGAAGCAGACAGAATAAGAGATAAAGAGCACCAGAATCGACCCGCTTTATGATACAGAACAATAATCATAAATCAGCGTTTTTGCCTTTTGAATGCAGACGCGTTCATCTCTCTGAAGATGCCTGAATCCCACAATCAAAATGTTCAATTATGAAACTAATGTGATTTATCATTAAAGAATCAGAATCCAACAGTGTCAAAGCAGCCAAACTTAGTAAACTAATACTTAGGATTAATGATATGAACATAATATCACAGTACGAGCGACAGTATCTAACATCCATGATCCGATGGAGAAAAAATTCAGATTCACTATGTAAATGCTGCTTCATGCCATCTATGAATATAAACCTAGTTTTATACGACCTCTTGACCTCCTTTACATTCGCGGCTCTCGTGGGGCAAACGTGATTAATCCCGCGAGCATTCAGAGCGCTGAACGTGTGTGTGTGTGAGAGAGAGAGAGGTATTAGTGGATTACGCCCACCGGGTAAGGGTGTCATTTAGTCGTCTGCTGATCTGGACTGATCCGGATCTGCAGATCTGAGACCGCTTTAAGCAGCAGAAGCTACACACACTTCATCCCGGCTGGAAAAGATAATTGGATGAAAGTAAAGAGACTGCAGAGAAAATAGCAGGGTTTTGTGTAGGGAATTTATGCACGGTATAGACTAGAGTGTGTGTGTGTGTGTGTGTGCTGACTCAGGTAAGAGCTGCTGCCCTTGTGGAGTCATGAAGATATCAATGGTGATAGTTTTAACTCCTGTTCATCCATAAAAACATGAGACCTCTTTTCTCTCCACCTGCATTCCTCCATCTTACGAGACTCAGACCAAACCGCCGTTATTACGCCATTTTACAAAGTCTTGTTTTTGTCTCTACTAGAACAGGTTTTCCTGCTTGAATGTTGATTATTCTCCTCATATTCTCCATTGTTGCGGCTCCTCTCTTCCCAGTCTGTCAGTAACGCTCTGTTTACTTCCTGTCTCCTCCTTCTGAAAGCACACTGTGCTCTGATTGGTCGGCTGGATCAGTGTGTTTTGATTGGTCGAGGGCTTTGAGCGTGTTTGGGAAAGTCCCGCCCCTTTCCATAACCACCAGTTTAACCCTAAAAGCCGTATTCTGGACAAATGTGGGCAAAATAGTTTCGATTTATTTCTAAAAAATACTTCCCTTGATACTTCCCTTTTCCTAAGTTTGCCTCCTGAACACACACAATTTTTTTTTTGACTCAATTCTACAATGTTAAGCGGGTGAAAAAAAAACTCCTTAATCTTGTATTTGGGTCAAAAATGGGCACCCATAGAAATGAATGGGAGAAACTGTAATTTAGAGCATTCGAAAATAAGACAGCAAAGTCACTTCATCTTTAGGTTTTAGCTCTAAGAACTTATTGGAACGATATTTTAATGTAGTAAAAATAAAACATAAAAATAAGCATAATTTACATAGAAAATATGGTACTTTTTGAAGTAAACAAATTCAAAAATACCCCCAAAATAAAAAAAACACCATAAATGGATAGACAAAACTTTATCGAAGTCAGTGATATAACATTTATAATAAATAGAACTTATTTGAACGATATTTTAATGTAGCAAAAATAAAACAAAAATAAGCATAATTTACATAGAAAATATGGTACTTTTTGAAGTAAAAAAATTGAAAAATACCCCCAAAATAAAAAAAAACACCATAAATGGATAGACAAAACTTTATCGAAGACAGTAATATAACATTTATAATAAATAGAACTTATTGGAACGATATTTTAATGTAGTAAAAATAAAACATAAAAATAAGCATAATTTACATAGAAAATATGGTACTTTTTGAAGTAAACAAATTCAAAAATACCCCCAAAATAAAAAAAACACCATAAATGGATAGACAAAACTTTATCGAAGTCAGTGATATAACATTTATAATAAATAGAACTTATTTGAACGATATTTTAATGTAGCAAAAATAAAACAAAAATAAGCATAATTTACATAGAAAATATGGTACTTTTTGAAGTAAAAAAATTGAAAAATACCCCCAAAATAAAAAAAAACACCATAAATGGATAGACAAAACTTTATCGAAGACAGTAATATAACATTTATAATAAATAGAACTTATTTGAACGATATTTTAATGTAGTAAAAATAAAACATAAAAATAAGCATAATTTACATAGAAAATATGGTACTTTTTGAATTAAATAAATTCAAAAATACCCCCAAAATAAAAAAACACCATAAATGGATAGACAAAACTTTATCGAAGACAGTGATATAACATTTATAATAAATAGAACTTATTTTAACGATATTTTAAAGTAGTAAAAATAAAACATAAAAATAAGCATAATTTACATAAAAAATATGGTACTTTTTGAATTAAATAAATTCAAAAATACCCCCATAATAAATAAAAAACCCATAAATGGATAGACAAAACTTTATCTAAGACAGCGATATAAAATTTATCATAAATAAAAATTAGGATCACACCTGAGTCCTCTGTGCCCACATTTGTCCACAATTACAGGATTTGAGGGCTACCACACTACTAACTAACTCAACCAGGCCCCGCCCCTTTATTCTGCGCATGAATTATTATAATGAGTAATATTGTGACGTGTTCGTTCCCGGGAGAAACTCGAGACTACAATGGAGGCGTTTCAGGAGTTCAGAAACACTGACACTCATATAGTGGAGCGTTTTCATGATCGTTGCCATATCACCCACTCCTAAATCAAAGTTTGGGAATTAGTGCTGTCAATCAAACACCTAATGATGCTCACAACAACAAGCATCGCTCTATTCCTCATCCATTAATCAGAGTTTATCGAGTTATCAGTCATTCCAACAGGATCACCGTGTGATTCAGAATCAGATCACGCCGGAAATCTGCAAAGCATCTATTAATGTTTCCTACAGTAACTCTACACCCTCCCTGCCATGTCTGTCCCAACCCCCATGTCCTCCCACACACACACACACGTCTATAATAAGCACCATGCAGACTGTTAAGTAAGACCGCTTGCTCTCATCACGATCCATTACTGATAGAAGCACTTTTCAATATGTAACCGTAACCATTGAGCTCAGTAACTGGGTCACGCACTCGAGAGGATCTTCCCCAAAGCGAGACTGTAGATGCTAATCTGTTAGAGGACACTCAGCATTAGTATTTATTATATTTGCTTGAGTGCTTCACATTGCTGGTTGACTGCTCTGGCCTTCAACACTCATGCAATGTGACTGTGACCCAATGCAATGTGTGTGTGAGGCTGACCTACATGTAAGTTGATGCAAAAGCAATTACTTTCCATATAAATAGTCATTTATATTTATAGCTATACTTTTATGGAGAAAAAAAATAATAATTGCTTTCATTGAACTCATGTACTATTCCTTCTGTGTTTTTAATGGTGTTTATGTGTGTATGTGGTGTTTTTAATACACTTAAACGGAGTATTTCTTCCTTAACACTAGAAGTGCCAGAATTCCAAAACTACTAGAACGGCCACAAACGGTCAATTTGACCGTTAGAGTGTTTATTTCGTTGATGAATAATTTTCGTAATTATTTTCGTCAACCACATTTTTTCAAAGACGAAAACGAGACGATAACTAAATAAAAACTAGGTTTGAATGACAAAAACTATGACGAAAAATGTTAGATAGTGACGATTTGCGAAGCGGTCAATAGGCTAATAATAATAATAGATCAATATGACCGTCTATGGCCGAAATAGGTAAGATATGTTCTTTTTTTTTTTTTTTTGCTTTACGTTTACGTAACTTAATTTATATGAAAAGCATTTTAAATGAAAATACAGACAATTTTAGGAAAAGTCAGGTACCAGTAGGATTTTATTATTTTTTTCAACAAAGCTATTGTAGATATAAAATTCAAAACGGTCAAAAAGACGTTTTAGTTGTGGCCGTTCTAGTGTTAAAACTGCAGTGAACCAAAGACAGTCTCAAAAACACGCTTTGAAATCGCTGGTGTTTCAGACGTCACAAACCACCTTGTAACCAATCAGATCAACGTGTGATCGTCAACCAGTGGATCTCTGAGTGAGTGAGTGGGGGTGGAGCTCATTTGCATATTCATAGAACCGCGCATACTAAATGAGGTAAGGGTGTCGAGTTACATTCTAGATATTTGAAGGCATTAGGATTTTTTCCCAAGGAAACCTATTATAAATATGTAATGTTGGTGATCATAAATTGGTTTTAATGGATAAAATGCCTACAGAGGGACTTTAACAGCAAACTACCTGTTTACACAGTGAAGGTTGCATTTATTCAAATATCTTAATCCCAGAGGGAGAGAAAGATGAATCCCTGTGTGTTTCTAATTGAAAATGCGATACATCTTTTCACCAGAGTAGCTTGATCTCACCTGGGTGTGGTTTGTGTCCTAACAGCTCCAGAACGCAGAAATCTCAGCGCGTGATTGGACGTCACATCTCTCTTGTGTGGACTGGCTGAGAGGTGGCAGAGGCGGGCCCTCACAACCATCAGGACCAATGAGAACTGATCTGCTAGGGAAACAATCACAATCATTATCATAATTAGAGTCTGAAATGTACGTATACATGTACTACTAACATCATGTGAAAAAATGAAGGAAGTCTGGATGAAACAGAGACTTTTATGTCTATATTTGATTGTTTATACACACATGCATATTGAATATAGCAAGCCCCGCCCACATTTGTTCTTGTTCCAGAAGCTTTTCTTTTAGATATACGACTTTAAAACAATCTGAATCTACTCAGCAACGACGACTGTTTGATTGAAAATATGATATGAATATATTGAAAATATTTCCTTCAATAAGTCGTTTCAGAGCAAATACTTTGAGATTCGTTGTTACTAATGTATCTTCTCTGGTTTATAAGTGGCATTAGACTTGGTAAATCTGATTCATTTCTAAGAATTTAATTCAATGTATCAATTTCAAATGTTTCCTGAGAGAAAAAAAACTAGAGATGCACCGACATGAAAATTTGGGCCGATACCGATAACCAATAAATCTTTGTATTTGAAAGTCGGTAACCGATATATCGGCCGATAAATCTAAATCCAAATTTTTATGTGATTTTTGAGAGCCTGATTACAAAAACAAAAGTCTCATTATTAAAAGCCACGTCCCCAACACACAATTATAATGTTCTCATGATCAGCCGATATGACAGACCATGTAAATCTAATCATATTTCAAGCAATTCAAAACATCTAAAGTGTCTCAGCTGGAGGAAATAATCCATTATTTATCGGCTTTAATACATCAGCCAATTTTTTTTATCGTGCCGATAACGATAACATTAAAAATGAACATATATCGGCCGATATGGATACCGATATATCGGTACATCCCTAGAAACAACTTTAAAGCCATTTCAGAGCAAATACTTTGAGATTCGTTGTTACTAATGTATCTTCTCTGGTTTATAAGTGGCATTAGACTTGGTAAATCTGATTCATTTCTAAGAATTGAATTCAATGTATCAATTCCAAATGTTTCCTGAGAGAAAAAAAAAAACTAGAGATGCACCGACATGAAATTTTGGACCGATACTGATAACCGATAAATCTTTATATTTGAAAGCCGGTAACCGATATATCGGCCGATAAATCTAAATCCAAATTTTTATGTGATTTTTGAGAGCCTGATTACAAAAACAAAAGTCTCATTATTAAAAGCCACGTCCCCAACACACAATTATAATGTTCTCATGATCAGCCGATATGACAGACCATGTAAATCTAATCATATTTCAAGCAATTCAAAACATCTAAAGTGTCTCAGCTGGAGGAAATAATCCATTATTTATCGGCTTTAATACATCAGCCAATTTTTTTTATCGTGCCGATAACGATAACATTAAAAATGAACATATATCGGCCGATATGGATACCGATATATCGGTACATCCCTAGAAACAACAACTTTAAAGCCATTTCAGAGCAAATACTTTGAGATTCGTTGTTACTAATGTATCTTCTCTGGTTTATAAGTGGCATTAGACTTGGTAAATCTGATTCATTTCTAAGAATTGAATTCAATGTATCAATTCCAAATGTTTCCTGAGAGAAAAAAAAACTAGAGATGCACCGACATGAAATTTTGGACCGATACTGATAACCGATAAATCTTTATATTTGAAAGCCGGTAACCGATATATCGGCCGATAAATCTAAATCCAAATTTTTATGTGATTTTTGAGAGCCTGATTACAAAAACAAAAGTCTCATTATTAAAAGCCACGTCCCCAACACACAATTATAATGTTCTCATGATCAGCCGATATGACAGACCATGTAAATCTAATCATATTTCAAGCAATTCAAAACATCTAAAGTGTCTCAGCTGGAGGAAATAATCCATTATTTATCGGCTTTAATACATCAGCCAATTTTTTTTATCGTGCCGATAACGATAACATTAAAAATGAACATATATCGGCCGATATGGATACCGATATATCGGTACATCCCTAGAAACAACAACTTTAAAGCCATTTCAGAGCAAATACTTTGAGATTCGTTGTTACTAATGTATCTTCTCTGGTTTATAAGTGGCATTAGACTTGGTAAATCTGATTCATTTCTAAGAATTGAATTCAATGTATCAATTCCAAATGTTTCCTGAGAGAAAAAAAAAAAACTAGAGATGCACCGACATGAAATTTTGGACCGATACTGATAACCGATAAATCTTTATATTTAAGAGCCGGTAACCGATATATCGGCCGATAAATCTAAATCCAAATTTTTATGTGATTTTTGAGAGCCTGATTACAAAAACAAAAGTCTCATTATTAAAAACCACGTCCCCAACACACAATTATAATGTTCTCATGATCAGCCGATATGACAGACCATGTAAATCTAATCATATTTCAAGCAATTCAAAACATCTAAAGTGTCTCAGCTGGAGGAAATAATCCATTATTTATCGGCTTTAATACATCAGCCAATTTTTTTTATCGTGCCGATAACGATAACATTAAAAATGAACATATATCGGCCGATATGGATACCGATATATCGGTACATCCCTAGAAACAACAACTTTAAAGCCATTTCAGAGCAAATACTTTGAGATTCGTTGTTACTAATGTATCTTCTCTGGTTTATAAGTGGCATTAGACTTGGTAAATCTGATTCATTTCTAAGAATTGAATTCAATGTATCAATTCCAAATGTTTCCTGAGAGAGAAAAAAAAACTAGAGATGCACCGACATGAAATTTTGGACCGATACTGATAACCGATAAATCTTTATATTTGAAAGCCGGTAACCGATATATCGGCCGATAAATCTAAATCCAAATTTTTATGTGATTTTTGAGAGCCTGATTACAAAAACAAAAGTCTCATTATTAAAAGCCACGTCCCCAACACACAATTATAATGTTCTCATGATCAGCCGATATGACAGACCATGTAAATCTAATCATATTTCAAGCAATTCAAAACATCTAAAGTGTCTCAGCTGGAGGAAATAATCCATTATTTATCGGCTTTAATACATCAGCCAATTTTTTTTATCGTGCCGATAACGATAACATTAAAAATGAACATATATCGGCCGATACGGATACCGATATATCGTGCATCCCTAGAAACAACAACTTTAAAGCCATTTCAGAGCAAATACTTTGAAATTCGTTGTTACTAATGTAACTTCTCTGGTTTATAAGTGGCATAAGACTTGGTAAATCTGATTAATTTCTAAGAATTTAATTCAATGTATCAATTCCAAATGTTTCCTGGGAGGAAAACTAGAAGATGCACCGACATGAAAATTTGGACTGATACCGATAACCGATAAATCTTTATAATTGAAAGCCGGTAACCAATATATCGGCCGATAAATCTATATCCAAATTTTTATGTGATTTAATAATTGTGATTTAAAGTTGTTTAATATATAGGAAAACATTTTTATCGTGCCGATAACGATAACATTAAAAATTAACATATATCGACCGATACCGATATATCGGTGCATCCCTAAAAACAACAACTTTAAAGCCATTTCAAAGCAAATACATTGAGATTTTTAGCATTAGACTTCTAAGAATCAGTTCAGCCTGTTCAATATCATCCAAGACATCTCGAATATCATCTGAAATACACAAAGGCAAGCCTTTTGACTCTGTGTGCGTAACTGCACACCTGGTCCGCATCCGAATCAGCAAATAAATCTGCATATCCGCACTAATCCTGATAGATTAATCTATTTTCTGTGCTGAGCCTCGTCCGTCGAGCACACACTTTATTAACGTTTCAGAGTGTGTGTGACTCTGTGACTTTCACTCCAGTGCATGTGAACTCATGCGATGGCGGCAGTCATGCAACAGTCACGAGAGGCTCGCGTACGTCGGGCTCGTTGGGTCTCGAAGCTTGTGATTTCTGAGAAACATGCATCTCGACTTTCCCAGTGTCCCCTACAGCAACCCGAGATATGACGCTTGCCCTCTTTACGCAGCATGTAACTAGCTCATGCAGACTCATGAATAATGAATTTCAATAATGCAGCTACTGTACTTGAGCAAGACTGATGCGCCAAAGAGAGAGAAAGGTGTGATGAGAGATGGAGGAAACATAACAATAGACATGGTGATTCCCATTAGAAAGAAATATATGGAGAACATATTGAGATCTAATCCAGCTTTTAGTGTTGTTTATGTGTCTATGTGGTGTTTTTAATACGCTTAAACCGTGTGTAAGTTCATAATTAGAGTGTTTCCTCCTTAAAACTGCAGTGAACCAAAGACAGTCTCAAAAACACGCTTTGAAAACGACCAATCAGATCAACGTGTGATCATCAACCAGTGGAGTGAGTGAGTGGAGGTGGAGCTCATTTGCATATTCATAGAACCACGCATACAAAATGAGGCAAGGGTGTCGAGTTACATTCACGAAATCAAGAAAAAACTTGATTCATTGTCATTTTGGTGATTAAAATGCCTCATATTTGACAAGATATAGGCTACCCAAGTCAAACATTTCTCAATTCTCCCAATTTAGTATCTCAAAGTAAAAATACAAACAATAAAAAATTAAAACATGCTATCAAATCAATTTATAATATAATAAATATGAGCTATAAAGTATAAAATCCACATTCAAAACGTATGGTTCAAGACTAATGTAGTTTTGCATTTTGATTTTCAAATGTACTTTTACTTTTAAACCACTAATTTTAGTGAAAGGTTTTTGAGTGGATTTTCTTTTAAAGGGATAGTTCACTTTGACATTAATTTTTGATACGTTTTATCTTACCTCAAGGGCATCCAAGATGTAGGTGTCTTTGTTTCCACAGTATTTTCAATTTTGATATTTTTGAGTCAGGTCTATGGAGTCCACCTCAAAGAGCAGCACAGAGAAGTCCAAATTAAACATGATTTAATGACTCGTAAATGTAAGTACACATTGACAGCCTAAGAGCGGTTTGTGTGAGAAAACCAACAGTATTTATATCCTCTTGTAATCATAGTGATCTGAATCAGTTGTTCAATGTCCAA